TGCAGAAGCAGAAGCTGACAAGAACATTGTTGCGATCCACGCTGCAATGGGAGGTGGAACTGGCATGAATCTCTTCCTTCGCCGTTTCCCAACAAGGTGCTTTGATGTGGGGATTGCAGAACAGCATGCTGTTACTTTTGCTGCAGGATTGGCTTGTGAAGGCCTCAAGCCTTTCTGTGCAATTTACTCATCATTCATGCAAAGGGCTTATGACCAGGTAGGATTACAAATTGTCAATTTCTTTTCTTTCTATAACTCCATCGCCTTCACCAATTCATGTGAATTACCTATCACTAAATGGAAATTTGTGTTCCATTCCATAGGTGGTCCATGATGTGGATTTGCAGAAACTGCCGGTAAGATTTGCAATGGACAGAGCTGGACTAGTTGGAGCAGATGGTCCAACACATTGTGGTGCTTTTGATGTAACTTTCATGGCCTGCCTCCCTAATATGGTGGTGATGGCCCCTTCTGATGAAGCTGAGCTTTTCCACATGGTTGCCACTGCTGCTGCTATTAATGATCGACCTAGTTGCTTCCGATACCCAAGGGGAAATGGCGTTGGTGTTGAATTACCACCAGGGAACAAAGGCATTCCTTTGGAGGCAAGTTAGAATGATGTCTTTATTTGATAACATTTTATAAGGAACAACTATGCAAATCAACTTAGTGTTTATGTGCTGATACATTGGCAGATTGGAAAAGGAAGGATACTGATTGAAGGGGAAAGAGTGGCCCTCCTCGGGTATGGAACTGCTGTTCAGAACTGTTTAGCTGCAGCTTCCTTGGTGGAATGCCATGGCTTGCGAGTAACAGTTGCAGATGCACGATTCTGCAAACCATTGGATCACTCACTTATTCGCAGACTAGCGAAATCACATGAGGTTTTGATCACTGTAGAAGAAGGGTCAATTGGTGGATTTGGGTCTCATGTTGTTCAGTTCATGGCCCTTGATGGCCTCCTTGACGGGAAATTAAAGGTAACTAAAAAATCTGCTCTAGTTAACCCAGAAAGCTTGCATTTCTATTTTGCTGTTGAATTTTGACATCTTCCAAAGTTTCTGTGAAGAACTCTTTTTCACTAAATGATGAAAACTTAACATGCATTGTGATATTTATGCAGTGGAGGCCAATGGTTCTTCCTGATCAGTATATAGATCACGGATCACCATCTGACCAATTGGCATTAGCTGGTCTTACATCATCTCACATAGCAGCAACAATATTCAATATACTTGGACAGAAAAGAGAGGCGCTGGAGGTCATGACATAGAAGAAAATACAGAAAAGGGGGCCCATTTTTTCTTTTTAAATGATTTTAGTTCTCACTCCCCCACAGTGTAAAAAGCTCAGTAATACCATCTTGTAAAAAACAGAAGTAATGGTAACATGTGACTTGTGCAAATTGAAAATGGAGATTGTCAATGGCAATACCAGTACATACAGATATCAATATCAAAAGTTTATTTTCATTTGTGTATTTTTCTATCTCGTATTTAACCCCTAAGTTTTGTAATTAGAACTCAGGTGTATGAAAATTCAGTATCCATCAGCATTATCCTCAAAAGTGAACACTGTCTGATTTTCCCATTAAATGCATTGGCCTATCTATCATTTTTTAATGATAGCGTCTATTATGGGGGAAAAAAAAAAGAGAATTAAATGCTTCCTGGTAAATGAGAGGTTATAGGTTTAATCCTGCTTATAACCTTAGCTTATTAGTGACCGCTCCTTTAAATCAAAAAAAAAAAAAGGCAAATGTACGAGTGGTGCGTAATACATAAATTCCAGCCAAATGTAAAGTGCGATGAGAAGCAGTTTTTGCTTGAGGGAAGGTCACCATTTCCAAATTGTTCTTCTCACAATTAATTTAGAAGCCTGTTTTGTTGGAGTTGACAAGTGAAGCTTCGTGCACCAGGGAACAAGGAAGTGACCAAAACCTCAATAATTCAAGTGAGATTGTTGCCAAAAGCACCTTGTGCGTTGGTGCTTTTCTAGTGTAATTCAAGTTAGTATGGTTTTCACACGTAATATTAAGCATGTGATGTTGACAACTAAAGACAATATAGTGCTTTCAAAATGGCACAACTAAATTATATTTAAATATTTTGATTTTAAAAAACTAGATTCTGCACCTTTTTAGGATTAATTAGAAGTGGTTTTTTAATATAATGTTCATCCATAAAATTTCAACCATTTTTTCATATTATCTGATTGGATCAGACTCAAGCATTGCCGAGTCCAATTAAAGTAATTATCTCAAAGATGTTTTCTATATTCACATAAACTTAAATTCAATATCTCGTATTAAACCATCAAAGTTCATTCCATTGGAATCAATGCTAATTTCAACCCTTAATCTTTCTCAAATGGAATTAGGTTGCGCCACTCTAGAAAAGCACTGATTCTATGTCTAATAATGTAATACTCCTCCGGTCCTAATTATAAGACCCAATTGACTTATTTGAGGAGATTAAGGAAGTAAGTTAAATTGGTTATTTATAATAAATAAGTATTGTCATTCCTAAAATATCCTTGCTAATTAAGTAAATTGGCTAAAACTATCATTATTAGAAGGATTATCTTGGAAAAAAATGCATAAATATAAGAGACAAAATGGATTGGGTCTTATAATTAGGACCAAATAAAAAGTCAAATTGGGTCTTATAATAAGGACCGGAGGAGTATTAGAAATATAACACTACCTCCGGTTCTAATTATAAAAGCTAGTTGGCTAATTTGAGGAGGTTAAAGAAAGAAGTTAAGTTAGTTATTTGTCATAAATAAGTGTTGTTTTTTCTGAAATATACTTGCTAATCGAGTGTATTGGCTAGAATTATTATTGTTAGAAGGATTATCGTGAGAAAAAATACATAAATATTAGAGACAAAGTGGATTAGGGTCTTATATTTAGAACCAAAATAAAAATCAAACAAGATCTTATATTAAAGACCAGAGATAGCAGTAGTGATACTTAAAATTAAAAATTAACCTTAATATGTAGTGGAAGTGAGGAAGAAGCTGGACCATTTATAGTCTGGTTTGGGTCCAATCATACAAAGCCGACCAGGCAACCAAAACGAGTGGGGTTATCTTATCTGATTCCTGAAGGGCCACGGCATTTTCTATTTAAATAATTATAGTGAGTAGCACACCCGACCGTTGTCTCCTTGATGTGACAGCATGAAAATTCTGCAAGGGAGAATTACAATGAGATCCCAAATAAGAAAAATAATTAAAAAAAGTCTCAAAAGTTGTCATTCTCACTGTAAGATTTGTCATTATAGATTGTTGAGGTTGTTGTTGAGACTTTTTAGTAATTATTTCTCTTATGTGGGACTTGATTATAATTCCCTCATTCTACAATTGATTGGGATCACTGCATACTCCCATGCATACCGACAAATTAGTAATATAAAATTTTCTAATTAAAAAAATAAAAATAAAAATTTAATCCTTTAATTTTATGTAAAATTTTAATATAATTTGTGAACTTTAAAAAATTTATTTTTAATTATTTAATCATAAAATTATTAATATTAAATGAATTTTTTTTTAGCATTCATGATAATTTTAAAAATTAATCGCGTTATTTTGTTAACACTAAAGATTTGAATGTCATTATTTTAATATTTTTTCTGAACAGTTCTTAAGTTAAAAAAACTAACACTATACTAAAAGAGACAGAACTGATATCTTATATAAAATTAAGAGACTAAGAATTTAAGCCTTACAAAAATTAAAACCTTGTCCCAAAACATTTAATTGAATTAAAAAGTAAGCTTATATATATATATATATATATATATATATTCAGAAAATAGAGAGCTCACTATAATTTCACCTAAATTAAAGGAACTTTTATATATGGGAAAATCCTAATTAAATCCTACTGAAATACTTAAATTTAAATTGAGGCCTACACTTTTAACAAATTCTTAATAAGGACATAAAACCTAATTAGGAATTTCTGAATATTGTTAAATGACTATAATGCCCCTCTTTAGTTAAAAATGAAAATTGATTATTTTATCCCTCTAAAGTGGTTCATCATCTCTTATTATTAATATTTAGACAAAAAAATATAAGTAATTTTTTAGTGTTTGAAATTTTGTAATATAACTAAAATCTTCAAAATATTTTCATAAAACATTTCAAATTATAATATAAGTAATCTTTAAATAAATATTTTTTCTTTTCAGGTTGTAAATATTTATTTTAAAATATTTTAATTATAATAAAATTTAATATTAAATCGTAATCATTTACGTTTTCAGTTGAATCCAACATTGTTTAAATAAATAAAACTAACGTAAATTATAAGAACTGAAAATAAAAAATATTTATTTAAACTAAAAAAAATCATAAGAGATGAGGAACTACTTGGGAGAGGTAGATTAATCAAGTTTTCTTTTTAATTGAAGAAGGGCATTCCGGTTATTTAACAACATTCAGAAATCCCTAATTAGGTCTCATGGCCTAATTAGGAATTTGTTAAAAGTGTAAATCTAAATCTGAATTTAGGTATTTCGACTGGATTTAATTAGGATTCTCCCTTTATATATTTTACCGGACTTGATTTAGATAATTCAGATTTTATTATTTTTCAATTTGATATCAACTTTTTTAAGTTTTAACCATTATCCTGTCAAATAATCATGATTTCAATTGAAAATATAAAATACGCTGACGTTTTTCCGTGTCTTTTCTTCTTTGGACTAGATATTTCAGGCAGCAAATAAGAGTTTGTTCATGTGGTAAAGAAGAAAGGAGTCTGTTTTATAACTTATAAGATCGTAAATTTGAATGCCGCTAGCATTCTATAAATACTAGTGTAAGCGTTTTCCCTGACCCAGCAAGCTGATCCCAATTCACCTTAAAACTTTTCTGTGAAAGGGAAAAAAATTCGAGCATGCCTAACGCTGATTTTCTCTCCATATTTGGAAGGAGTATTGAGATTATAAAAATCCTCTAAAAGACGGAGACGAAAAAACAGGAACTAGAGTGGCTGAAGGGGGATGCATTTTTCTGTACAGCTAAAACATACGTGTAGAACACAAATAGCCGGCACAGCTATCTATTAGAAGAGATATAATACAAATTGACCTAAAAACTTCAACAGATCACAAAGTAAAATTGAGAAAAATTGGAAACAGACTAGTTTATTTACATTTATTCACAGCACGGTATGTTCCGCCATCTTTTAACCATATGGTGGAACGGGTTTTCTTCACATTGTCTGCAAAGAGACGATGCCTGCAATGCAAAAATGCTCACCACTGAAACACCATCTTCGCTTCTAGCAAGCTATCAATTTCAATCCCATTGCAAGATGGAAAAAACTTAAGCATACTACATTTGTCTTTGTCATGAAATTTTCAAATGGTCAAGTGAAAACGTTACATGAGTATGGTCCTTAAAGTAAACAGATCAATTAGAACCATTATGTGGGGATTAAATAGAATTATTTAAGAATAATATACTATGAAGAGACCAGAAATCTCCTCTGTAAGGAATTGTCTATACAAGGTAATGGAAATATCATTAGTGAGGGAAGATGAAAAGAAAATCTAACCTTTCATACTCCAGCTTCTGAGTAACTATGCCATTTAATAATAGCTCTGAACTGTATACCGCTGTCCCTGTAGGTTATAAACATGGTGTTCTTAAGTATTGTGAACACGATTATGATTAAAGATTAAGAAGAAAGATTCTAACCTTTTTCAAGAAAAGGCACACACAGGGCATAATCATCTTCACAAGACAGGATCAGCAGATCATCTTGAATCTTATCGTCCTTCAACGAAGATCTGCCAATTCTCTCTACAGCCTAAGGGCATGTTGACTAGTAATTAGCTTTTTTGAATCAATTTTAACAACTATATGCTGAGATGGATTTAGCAAAATGGAGGTAGCTTTTGTGAAAAGAATTTATTTTCACAACATGCACATAAAGTACAATTTGGGGCTGAGAAGATCAAAGAATTTATTTTCACAACTCCCAATTTCAAGATTAAAAATCATCAATCTCCTCAACATTGATTGAAATTTTTTTCCCCATTTTGAGATATCCATCACACTTGGAGAACATTAGAGGAAATGTGCAGCAAGAGAGTTGCATACCTGGCCCTGAACCGCCTTGACTAAATGTGAAACAATCTCTTTGCTAGGTTTAGTATTGGGGGTGATCAATACTTTGCGACCCTACACACAGTAAGCCAGACAGAAAATGAATGAGTTTGTGTTCACACACACACACACACAAATAAACAAAACCCAAGTGCATATATACCTCTAAAAGTGGATGCCGAATTGCACGTGCCAATGACACTGACATACTGAAGCCAAACTCCTTTTCCTTTTTGGCATCCCTCAATATGTAATTTTTCTCATCAATTAAACAATTAGTTTGTCCACAGCTCTCAATCCATAAATGGGTAACAACTGGTTTGCCAGAAGCAATAGCCTCTAGCATATTCCTTGTACGCACAAATTTATTAGCAATGAAGTGAGTCGCATCTAGAATGGAAGTTACCACAGAAACGCCAAGTCGTGATAAAATCTGTAAGAAGGTCAAGAATCAATATATAACTAAAATCATATTTTGGCTTGTCTATATTTTGTTAGCTCACGAGATTCTATGAAAAATCAGACATTACCTTCTTTTGATGCTTAATTATATCTTCATCCACGTGTTGACTATAAAGAATTCGAATACCAGTCATATCCCTTCTCTTCCGTGAATCTTTAGACGGTGTAAATTCAAGTCCACTAGCACTTAAGCTGCAGAGTTCTCTACGGAGTTCCCTATTGCATGACTTTTTGTAATAATTATCACCCATACATACAGGGGATGCATCATTTACTGGAGTTCTACATTTATCTGGTGTTGCGGAAGTCAAATCAGATAACTTAAAGCTCTCTCTTGGTGAATCGCTTGTCTTCATTTTTCTCTTCCTGGCAGCTGATAGCCCCACATCTTCAGACTGCACAGACGAATTAGATGAACCAACTAATCTCTCTGATCCTTCATCATGACTAGACAACTTCCTAAGAGACCTTCTCCTTGGATGGTCCAAGGCATCACTCTTAGTGCCATCATTATCAGCACTCAGACGGGTATTTCCATTGTCTTCAAAGCGAGCAGAGCAACTCTGCTTAGCCTTAGGATCTAAATTCTTAGATGCCTGGAAGACAACACTACTACTGTTTTTCTCTAAGGAGTCAACCCTTCCATCCTCTTCTGTATGACTTCTGGATGGTCTATCAGGCTTCAGTTGATTTGCAACCAAAGATCGTCTAGTTCTACGAGCAACTGGTGAAAAATGAAAAACTTGACTCTGTAAATGCCTTTTGCTGACCAAGCTTCCTCCATTTTCTCCCTTACTGCCAATGCAATCATGTAATTCATTACCCTTGTGTCTTTTTGAAGCCCTCGCTGACTTTCTTTGCCCAACGAGCTGAGAACGAAATTTACCACTGTTTTCACTAGCACAAGATATTAGGCCGTCCTCCACATTTAACATACTTCTCTTCAATCTTTTTGTCAATTTTTTCCTTTTGCATTGCTCCCCTGCTTCTTCATTATGAGCTTTTAATAAACTTGAATTTTGTAAATCTGATTTAACACGTTTCTGAATCCTGTCATTTTTTTCTGAACATTTCTTCGAAGTAATTGCCTTCTTTGTTCCTGGGCAAGAGTTATTGGGTTGATCTGCTAGACTGCTTCTAGCAGCTTCATTAGCAACACGAGTATCACCGCCCTCATAGTTAACCAAGGCTTCCATTGCTTCAGCAGCCATTTGAGTATCTAAACCTACATCTAACATTCCCTGTGCATCTGCTGCAGTATCATTAGGTTCCAACTGTGCTCCAGAGTAATTGATGTTAAACAGTTCATCCAGGTCACTGACAAGATTTCTTTTTGGTTCTTTTGCTGCTTCTTTTACAGTGCCATCCCTTACTTTTAGACTATGTAACACTAGTCTAGAATCAGATTGAACTTCCCTCATTCTTTTATTATAGGTACTTTGTCCCCCATCATTATTATAGCTGCCATCTGCTCTGCTAGCTTTAATTTTCTGAACTGCTGGCAAGGATTTTTGCCTTGGCATCGCCTCCAAAAACTCATCCTTTCTCCTAAGAAATATATCTCCCCCACCATCATCCTCACGGCTGTCATCCCAGTCATAAACCCCAGTTTTTCCAGCATTGCCACTACCATAGACTCTCTTGGCCAAACTTTGATGCCCTTTCAAACTGGGAAGACTTTTTAAGCTTTCCTGAACCTTATTAACAAAGTCAGCTTCTTGATCACATTCTAGAACATCATTTTCTTTAAGTAACCTATCAACAACATCAAGAGCAGCTGCCTGTGTTAACTCTCCAGGTTCTTGAGAGTCAACATAGCTTAGTCCTGCGCACCCATCATCACAAATAGACAGTTTAGTCAAGCTTTCTTCTCCACCGACATCATTGTTGTTATAAGGACATCCTTCCTTCTCAGCAGGCAAATCATCATTGAATAGCTTTCTCACTACTGAGCTGGCAATTCTGGACTTATCTTTATGAAAATCTCCATTTGCTTCTCCTCTGTGTTCCCCATGATCATATTCCCTAGTTTTCTCTGTGCATCCAAGAAAAGGTTCCCCATTGTTTGTCACAGAGAGTGGCTCCTGGGGCTGACTTGTACCCGTGATTGGATTGATCCCATCCTCATTTTGTTTCAAATTCATATTGCGAGCAGCGAGAGCAGCTTCCCTCAATGATTCAACACGGACAGAAGTAAACCGTGGAGGCACTGAACCTAAGCACCATGGAATAAAATTTTACAAGAAACAAAACAGGGAAGGAAAACTGAAAAAGGAGTATATGTGCATGATAATTGTAGAGAATTATTGACTAGAAATTCACCAAATTATTCCAACCTCAAATTTCATACCATACTCCGATAAAAATGATGAAAAACATTCATCAGTCAAGTACAAATACCATTAGAAACCAATCAATCAAGCATAATACTCTCCCATGAAAATAGTCACGAACAGATGAAGAATTCCCCCCCCCCAAAAAAAAAAAAAAAGAACAGATGAAGAAAAATGAAGAATAGAGGTAACATGATCATCAAGTCAGTTGTAACTTGGTAAAAAATGCATAAGAAAATAGGAACACTGGTCTTCTTCCTTTCCATTTTGCAAAATCCTATTGATGCACCAGTACATTGATAGTAATGGAACCTCAAACTAAAATCCATGATAAATCAAGTAGAATATGTCTAAGGATTTAACATAAAAACTATTTAATGCCCAAATTACATACAGCCAAACAGTTAACAAAGGAATCACCTGAACTGGTCTGTTGATTGATGACGGGATCAGTCTTCTCCAATAGTTTCTTCTCACCAGGTCTACTACGAGGTTCGCATGAAATCTGCTTGGAATCTGCTGATTGCGCCCCAGCTATGCATTGACGATAATCAGAAGAGGGCTCTCTTACGTTCTCCAAAATGCCAGTTCCATTTGTTCTGTCACCATGACTGTCAATGGAAACTTTTCCATCCACCACATCCAATAACTGGGTGTTATTATCCTCCTCGTCATCAATGTCATCCAAAACTTGTGTTTCACCAGCAATACTCAAGACTTGAGTTTCACCAGCAAGATCTACCGGTTGGGTTTCTAATGCATCATCATAAACCGGAGCGTCATCATCAAAAGGAACGGTGTTTTCAAGATATCGCCAGTCATTATCCATCCCGATATCATCGTTCACACCTAACGTTTCAATAATTAAACAACCTCGTTAAAAAGAGTCAATTTTGAAAAACCTAGAAACTTATCTAAATCACTAATCAGTGAGTCATAACACAGCATTACAGCAAAAGAGAAACATTGAAACAAATAGACGCTGAGGAACTTGACATGAAACAATCAAAGCATCGCAAGACCTCAAAACCGTGATAACGAACAACCAACACCACGAATTCTCAAGTGATCTAACAATTCATAAGAAAAAACCAACTTCAACAGAAACTCAACCATAAAATGGAAGATTATAAATAGGGAAAGTGTAAAGACAGGAAAACACTCACCAGAGACCGAAGACGGTGATAATTGACTGTCAAAAGGCAGAGTATCATCAAAATTAACACCTACAACTTCGTTCCTGTCGGTTGACGTGGTTATACTATCAGTATCACTACTGCCACAGAAACCCATTTTCGTTTGTTGGTGACTAGCACGCATGTGATAGCAGTAACCCTAACAAAGAAGTGAACCCACTGAATCAACTCAAGCACATAATCAAGAATCCAAGATGGCCGACGAGTTGTTAGGGTAATCCAACACAGAATGATCGGGGCGACTGGCGAGGCTAGGAGGCGCGTGGACTTCGGAGCAAAAACCCGGGCTGCCTACAGGACCCGGTGCCTCGTTTTTGGAGGGAAAATTGATTGATGCCTCGTCACTCGTTTCGTACGAAATTCTTCGACAAAATGAATACTTTTTGTTTTTTAACTTAAAAATAATATTTGGAAAAAAAAAACTAAATCATGATGCTCCTTCTCTATACTGTACAGTTGTACTCACCGGCCACTTCCGTTGGATCCCTCCTTTTTAATTTTAGGAAAAACAACATAAAAAAAAAAGTTAGAAATTATAATATTATAATTTAGATACCTAAGTGGTTAAAATTAGGGGTGTTCAAGGCTGACCCGTCCCAGTCGGCCCGTTCCGGTCCCGGTCTTATTGGGACGGGACGGATCCGTCCCGAAATTTTTCGAGACCGGACAAACCGGGACGGGACGGGACACGGGACGGGGTCGTCCCGTCCCGGTCCCGTCCTAGTTCTTTTTTTTTTAATTTTTTTAATTTTTATCCTATTTATATAATATCATTTTTTTTATATTTTTTTAAGATTTGAGACTATTGTATGGAACTATAGATATATTTATTTAGAGTTTTTATATTTGTTAATGATATGAGATTATTGATTATTAGGATTTTTAGCAAGTTTTTATTGTGTTAAAAGCTTTTGTTTAGAGTTTTTAATGATTATTATATGTAATATTTTGAGCTTTTGTTTAAGAGTGCCCAAACAAATAAAAAAAATAAAAAGATGTTTTTTATAAGGTTTAAGCCCCAAAAATATAATTAAAAAATTCAAATTTTATTAAAAAAATTAAAAAAAATTAAAAAATTTAAAAAAATGTTCGGGACGTCCCGGTCCCGTCCCGTCCCGACCGGGACCGGGACAACCCCGGGACGGGCCGGGACACGGGACAGAAAATCTGTCCCGTTACTGTTTATCGGGACGGAACCGGGACGGGCCTGTCCCGGTCCCGATCCGTCCCGTGAACAGCCCTAGTTAAAATCTCAAGAAAAGAAGTGGTATCTGATTTGATATTTTATAGATATAATCAAATGACTAAAATATCCTTATATCATTTTTTTAAAAAAAAAATATCAAACTTGTCATTACCCCTATATTTCTTGTCATTAGTTATTTAATATTTATCATTGTCAATTCACAATTTATTAATAAATAACATGTCATTGTCATTATATTTCTTGTCATTAATTATTTAATAATTGACATTGATAGTTCACAATTTATTAATAAATAACTTGTCATTACCAATATATTTCTTGTCATTTATTGTTTAATACTTATCATTACCAATTCACAACTTATCAATAAACTTTTTGATATAAGGGTATTTTTCTCGTTTAATTAGATTTACAAAATATCATATCAGACACCACTTTTTTTTGCTGAAATTTTGATATCTTAGGTGACTAAATTAAAATATTATAATTTCTAACTTCATTTTAGATCATTTTCCCTTAATTTTAACTATTAATTATTAATTAATTAATTTAACCAGACAAAAATACAATTTTAGAAAAGAGAAACAAAATGAAAGGGGCATTCCGAGAATCAGCTCGGGACCTCTCGCACCCAAAGCGAGAATCATACCACTAGACCAAATGCCCTCCGTGCTTGGGCTCTCCGCACATGATTATAGTACATTTTATTTATTTTCTCCTGATGAAAACATTAGATTATCTTAAAGCGGATTTTGAATTTTATGTTGCGATCTATCAAAATATGAATATCAAACAAAAATATTTGGATTGTGAAGGGACAGAATCGCATTAGAAATAGAGAAAATTAGAATAGAGAACCTGAAAGGAATAATATTTATTATGGAGGATCTTAAAAATCCTAATCACTTAGAAAGACCAAAAACTAAAATATAAATATACTAATCCTAAACTATCCCTAATAAATTTCCTTATACTCCCTCTGAACACATCTCAATTACTTGACAATTAGTAGCTAAAAAATAAAGGAGCACTCTATTATCATCAATTTTTATTATTTTTTATTCAATTTATACATTATAAAAATTGTACGGTATAATTATATATAATAACGTTCACTTAAATTTGATTACCAAAATTTAATTAGTCTATGTTCTAATTTCTATTTACAAAAAGCTAAATTTTATATACGAATCTAATTTTATTTTTTCTATAACTTTAAATTAGAAGTGGTGTTTCAAAAACAAATTATATTAAATTTAAAATTTTCATAAAATTTATACATGTTGAAATATGATATGAAAAATAATTTTAATTTTAATTTTAATTTTGAATAAAATAATTAAAAAATATATTATTTATTATTTTGTAAAATTTGCATATCTTTGTCTGTTTTAATGTTTTTATCAACATTTTCACTGACATCTTAGTGGCTAAAAAAGACTTTATTGTCGGTTGAAAATTTTGAGTGCGTTTTGTTTCCGATAAATAAAAACAGTGTAGATGTTAATGGCAACTGTCAAATATTTAAGGTATGATTAGTGAAAATGTAGGTGATTTAATCGGGGACAATTTGGTTCGTTATAAAACTAAAGAATGAGTAGATAATAAGAGAAGAGAATAAGAAAAAAATAGAAGATATGAGTATTTCTCATTCAATTTAAAAGTGCTAAATATATGATATATGACTTTTATTTATAGGCATCGCTTTACATTTTTGACAAAATATAAAGATTACATAATAATAGAAGATAATTGTGAGATATAAGGATAATGAGATATGTTGAAGATAATGAGAGAGATATAAATATTCACAAAAGTATTATTATATTCATAACAGTGTTTGCATATTTACATTTTTGTTTACGGCCTTTTAAATAATTACAATCTTTAAGATCTTTTATAACAAATATAACTTTTCCTTGGTCATTCTCTCTAATTTTTCCTTAGGAATATTACCCCATTTTGGCCGCCTACCAAAAGTTATATTTTCAAAAATTAAAAAGGAAACTAAAAACCTATCAATCGCCTCGAAATCGTGAAACCTCATTGTGTGGAATCTCACAAACTGTAGGCGTAGAAGATGTGTTGATTTATATGAAATTCAGCTCTCAAGAAGCAGACAAGTTGAATTCTGATATATCGGGCGGCCATGTATGTGTAAGTAGATGCAATTGTATTTGTCCTGGAATAACAAATATGTAATCCTGACTTCTACACGCTTATATTGGGTAGCTCACCCAAGACAACAAGTGTCTTAATAACAAGATATCAAATGATAATGTGATTTAGAAAATCATCTAATATCACCCCAACCCCCCCCCCCCAAAACCAAAAAACCATTTTTAATAGTCTCGTTTTACTCACAATAAACTAGTATTATTCTGAAGACAACTTCCAATGGCCATTCCAAGCACAAGTGTCTTGAGCAGCATGAATACCCTTTCCTATATTGTTGTAACATGGCAGATCCTAAAGAGCATGAATAACAATGTACATCTACATCCAAAGTCACACTAGAAAGCTGGATATGGATGGGTGCAGAAACTTAAAAAAGCAGCAAAGATCCGGCAAAACAAACTTCATTAAAGAAAGCAGTTAGAGTAATAACAAAATGTTAACATTTCAAGTGTTGCCAGAATAAATTAAATACAATTTTTACAGGAGATACCACTGAATAGACAAAGATATTGTATTAATCTGTCTAATTACAAAAAGGTGTTGAGTCCGGGTATACCAAGAGGTTTGAGATTTTTGCTCGTTGGTCGCAGTAAATCAATCAACCTACTTACTGGGAAGTCCAAAAGTGAACGGGTACAGCTCCTGGATCAAGCTCCCAGAAGCCCTTCAGACTGCCATGCTTCTCTGTAAGTTTGAATTCTGGGATTTGGTGGGAGAACCTGAGCAACTGTGCCTGGGGTACTCTCATAGTGATGGGTGATCCTTCAAATGTTTTCGGCTTGAAAACTGAATTATATCCACCAACGATCTCCATGACTAAAACTTCAATCCAAGAGGCATTTTCCTCAATAATTTCCACTATGTCATACTCCCAGTTTACCAGATCGGAGCATTTGATTTTAGGCGTCCATTTCCTATATAATGCCCAAACTTCACCTTTCCTTGGAAAGATGGAATATTCATTGTCCTTTCTGTCAAAATTGACCCGTACCAGATGTGAAAGGGAGAGGGTGTTCGTATAAACATTTGTATTCCCATTTCTACTTTTGAACCTGCCACAAGATATAAGCATGTCTTTGTCTTCCCATCTAATAGTGTTATCTGGCAGCCAGCAGGAAGCAAGCCACATAATATGCAATTCAAAACCAGGGCTCCTCTTGATTTCCACAATCTCACCATAGTACCTTGGCAGGCCATCTTCATCACTATAAAATGCCCAAATCTGACCAACATGAAACTTCTCCGGGGCCTTCCCATCGTCAAAATTGTAGAACTGAGGATCAGGAATTTCCATAGCTTCTGGGGTCGAAGACAGAGGAGCACTACTATCTTCAACAAAGTTAACTGAACCATTGTTCTTCGCCAAATTGCTTGTTTCAAAATTATCCCGGAAAGCATGTAAATTCCTATCAGGTGCCACCATGGGCTTCAATCTCTCTGAAGATCTTCTACTCACACCACTGGATGGGGAATGACCATCCTTCACTTCCAAATCAATGGGAACAGCAACCTCTTCGAGGTTCAAAGGCGAAGGCAAAGACGCAGGATCAAGTTCCCAAGATCCTACAGGAACACCTACTCTTTCCTGACCAGTCATCTTAAAAGACGGAACCCTGTGAGAGAATCTGAATAACTCTGCTGAGGGAATTTTGATTGGGTAGGCGCCTTCCTTCATAATTCTAGAGAAGAGACTCACGAAGCCTTTCAATTTAGCCAAGTATGCAATAAATACACCCTCACCTTCAACATAGTCCGTCAATATTTCAACGAACTCAAAGTCATACTTTGGATGAGATTCCACGTCCATATACCATTTGATATCCCAATTTTTATAGAGAGCCCAGGTTTCTCCCTTTCTAGGATAAACTTCAAAAGCATTACTTCCAATTTTTTCACACAGAACTCGATGAGAAAACATGGGATGATCTTCTGTGGTTTCGGAGTGTCTAAGCCCATACTTTCCACAGGCAACCGGCAATTGCTTGTTTACCCAATTAATTTCATCCTCATTACTCGGTTCTGGTTCAAACCATGTTATCCGCAGCTTGAACCCAGAGGAGAAAACTTTCTTAATTAGAGCATAGAATCTAGGCATGCCATCATTTGTATCATAAACAGCCCAAACCTGCCCAACTGCAAAACAATCTTTCTGCTTGTCCTTGTCAAAGTCATTAAACTCTGCATCAGGACAGACTATAATATTAGGCTGCTCTGTTATATTGCAGGCTGAATTGGGGACACAATGCTCATTAACTTCAGCAGCCGTCTTTGAACCTTGCACTGCTTTTCCCAACACCTCCTTAGTCTCCTCCTTTCTATTCAGTAATATGTCTTCAGGATAAAGACCATGCTTCCGCTTCTGCTTCTGCTTTAACCCTTTCTTGCGATATTCTAGATCATCAGCCAAACCGTTCACCCTTTTTGAAACATTTATGCCATCATCGTCACCATCACTCACATTTTCCTTGTAAGAAACCTGCTGTTTTTTCCGTGAAGATCTGCGAGGATTTTCTTCTCTAAAAGTGGCATGGTTTCGTTCATTAGTAATGCCATCCTCATCAGAAATGATATCATCAGAAGCCATACCACTCTCAGAATCAGAGCTGTGTACGGAATCAGAACTTTCACTAATTTCCACTACTTGCTCCCTCTGCCGTTTTCTATTAAGCTTTCTAGATACACGGGACGTTGGGAATTTCTTATCAAAAGGCTTTGCATTGACATTTCTACCATGTGATTTACCTTGAGATCCAACATCCACCTTAACCGAATGATGATTTGGACCATCTTGTGGCTGCACAAAAGGATGCGGACTTGAATGGGCTGGTGGAACTGTACCTTGCATACTCATGTCATAAGCGACAAAGGGCCTGTTGCAACTTTGACAACGCAGAGATCGATTTAGAACTTCTAAGTAATATTGAAATCTAATAGAACAGAATGGGCAAACAGTCCAAAATGTAGAGGAGCCATTATTAAACCCCTGCTGAGGATTCAAGTCTGTGAAATTGGCCCTATTATGGGTTTGCACCCCAGTATCAACATTCACAAAAATATTCCGTGGTGCACAATATGAAGTTCTGCTTCTGTCATGTGCAGCTCGTTTCTGCCTGTCCAAAAGCACTGCCTGAGCTTCCCCTATCAGCTTAAATGCGGCTTCAGCACCAGCAAACTTGTTTTTATCAGGATGAAGTAGGAGAGCGAACTTCCTGTATTGCTTCCTTATTGTTGCTTCATCAGCTGTCTGCTCTACTTGAAGAATTCCGTACCAGTCCTTTTCATTGCAAAATTTCTTCTCTGCGGAGCAATGAACATCACAAACAATAAGCATCTGAGCTATATTCTCCAGATCAGGAAATAGTTGCTGAGCCTTAATAGCAATTTTACGGGCCCCTGTGAAATCTTTGTTTTCCATCTTCTTTTCTGCAACATTCTTAGCCCTTACGGCCTCTTCTCTATTGCAGTCCATCAGAAATCAAGATTCTGAAACCTAACAGTGAGTGCTCAGATCAAGTGCATTGACAAAAGAGCTGCATTTAATTAGCAATTGCTCTGGGAAAAACTTGTACAGATTAAAAAGCAGGGTGCACCTATAACTTAGATCCCCATCAGTCCCCCAAGATGTACAATGCTCACATTCAGATTGAGCATGCAGACTCAGTGTAGCCTGCAGCTATTACATCCTGCACTTGCCAAAATCATAAGAGAATGTAAATGACACAGTTATATCAATAAACAAACACTATTCCAAATGCAAGAGTTTGCATCAATATATAGATTGAGCCCTTCAGATCACCACATTAGCAGCACAACTGCAGAGTTTGCAATGAACAACACCTTGCCCCCTCTCCCACCACTTCAGGGAAAGGGGTGGAGGGGAGATAGATCAGCGAAAAAAAATAACTCTCAACAGTTTTAAGCAATCACAAACTCTAAAGCATATAACAAATGCATAGAAAACATGAGCGAAATCCACTACACAAGAAACAACAGCGTAACGACCATTTTAAAGTCTACAACATCAAGAAACACACCCTCGAGCCTTTGATTGGATAGCTAGAGGTAGCCAAAGCTTATAATCAATTGCTGGTTGCTATCAAACAAAATAATAACTTCATTTGCCACCCTCCCCCCTTATCACTTCCAAATAATCACATCGCAATACCCGATCACCGCATTCAATATCCAAACCGACATAGAAATTATAAGCAGCGTATGGCAATACATTGATCAGAAATAACCCCAATAAAACAATATTCAAATTACAGGGGGGAAATCATTTTTTACATCCCAAATAAACGGCAGAAGAAAGAAGATACCAGAATTTACGAACATCAAATCAATATATTTGAAAAATAAGTAAACAACTGAAATTATATCATCATAATGAAGGAACGAGCACAAGCCGAACATTAATTACCTCTCGCAGAGGAAGGGGCTGCATTAGCAATATGAATTTACGTATGGGGTACTCTTTTTTCAACGGAAAAAAAATTGATAAACCCTAAAAACAATTCACTGAGAAATCCCAAATAACTGAAGCGACTCTAGGAGCGCAAGCGAGAGAGAATATGAATTGTACGGACCTGGGGAACATTGGAGGTGGGAGGAGCGGCGCACACATCGTAGAGGGGAAGGGAATACTGAGTGCTGCAAGTGACAGACAAAATACTGGTTGACTTGATAGATTAAGATACAAATCTTTTTTTTTTTTTGGCCAGAAAGCATTTATCCCAGTTGATCCCTGGTGGCGGCCTTACTTATCCACAAATACACACATTTATTGGTGAATTTTCACCGATTCAGCTAATTTGGTTTATTTTGAGTGATTTTATCTTGTATAGCTTCAATATACGAAGAGTTTTGTCACACAACAACCTTTTTTCAAGTGATGACAGAGATTTGCCAAACAAACAAATCTCATTCTCCATTAAAGTGGGTATTAGCCATATGATAAGTTTTTACCGCATAAAAATGGCATTTAAGAAGTCATACTATTTTATATTTAACAAAAAGATATGTGATATATTTTTTATAACTTTGAAATAATGTGATTTTATTTTTTTTGTATAAAAATTAATTAATTACCTTAAAGGCAAGTTTTCCCTCTTTAGGGGGGATGGAGTTCAAATCTATTTTGATAACAGAGTTCTAATTGGTTATACGAAAAAAGTTATTGCTTTGGATTTTATCCGAGTATTAATTATTAAGTTTCCAACACCATTTGTTTAGTTGTCACATTTGACAAAACATTATTGTAACTTGCAATTGTTGTTTCAAGAATAAATTAACAATAATAATAATAATTTAGTTTCTGGCGACTGACAAATTTGTTAATTTGGTATTATAGCTCTGACAAGTTTGTTAGTTTTCTATCATTGTCTTATCACATCCAATATTCTTCATAAAAGAATCTTCAATAAAAAAAGTGAACAGGCCAAGGATGTCTCATTTCTAATTCGAGAAGGCAAACTGTCTCATATATGTTACCCATTTGAGGATGTGAATTGTTGTTTCCAGAAACAAAAGCAGCGACATCATTTTTCACTTCAATCCAACTACTTCCAGGCACTTTCTTCACTCTTTGATCCACCATTTCTTTCCTCAACCTCTCTGCTTCCTTCCATTTCCCACTTGCAAGATACAAATTTGACAACAACACATAAGCAGCTTCTTTGAATGGCTCTAACTTCTTCAAGTCTTCTCCCACAGTACTCCCAGTTCCTATATCTCCATGAAAATAACAAGCACCAAGTAGAATTTCCTGTGAGTTGGTCCTATCTGTGATGGTTTTTGAATACTTAGCGGCAATTTTTCTGGCTTCTGGGACATACCCACTTCTTCCAAGCATGTCTACTATGCAAGCTACGTGATCTGTTCCATGAGAAAGCCCATAATCTAATCTCATTGATTCAAAAAACTTGAGGCCTTGGTATATAAGCCCCGCGTGGCTGCAAGTCATTAGAATCCCTATGAAGGTTACTTCATCTGGTTTTACACCAGATGTTACCATTTCATGATAACTGTAAAGAGCTTCACTAGCTCTCCCATGGAGTCCCAGTGCAAACAACATTGTGTTCCATGAAATCAGATCCTTCTCAATAATACTATGAAATGCAAGCCTTGAACTTTCCAAGTCCCCACATTTAGCATACATGTTAACCAGGCTGTTTCCGACATAGACGTAGTTGTGTGAGCCGGATCGAATTATGCAACTATGGACCATTTTCCCATGTTCAAGCATTGCTAAGCTAGCACAGGCATGTAGGACTGCTCCAGCTACTAGATCATCAAGCTGGATTGAGTCTCTCACCATGTCTACAAACATATGAAGAGCTTGTTCCCCATTACCGTTTCTCGTATAACCTGCAATCATAGAAGTCCAGGAAACAATATTCTTCTCGGGAGCTTTCTGGAAAGCAAGAACAGCTTCCTGGGTATTGCCCATTTTCATATGGGCATCGATGATGGCATTCCAGGACACTTGATTAAAAGCACCAATGTCAAAGGATTCAAATACTCTAATAGCATCATCATGACAACCTAATTTAGAGTAAAAACTTAAAATTGAGTTATTTACCTCCACAGCAGAGGTCCAACCAGATTTGATAATGAAACTATGAATCATGCATCCATAAAAAGTATCTGATGAACCAGCACAAGCGTTCATGAGAGCACTGAATGTACATTGGTCAGGATGATACAAACTCTCACACATTTCTTTAAACATATGCAAGCATGCTTCAACTTTTCCAACCTGAGCATATCCTACAATCATTATATTCCAAGCAATTTCAACCCTTACAGGCATCCTATGAAACAGTTCACTGGCCATGCTGAATAGACCAGAATTTGCATATGCAAACAGAAGCGAACACCATGTCACTTCATTCCTACAATTCATTTCATAAAAAACTTTTCTTGCATCGTCAGGACTCGAACACTTCCCATACATATCAACCAGCGAATTACACACTGGAAGATAACATAAGTACCCTGAAATAACAATTAAAGCATGAATTATTGTGCCAGTTTGAAGATGGCGAGCACCTGCACACGCATTCAGCGTTGCAGAGAATGAGAAGTTATCGGGTCTACAGTGGGAGACTCTCATGTCACCGAAGAGGGACAAAGCTTCGTGGTAAAGTCCCAAATGAGAGTATCCACTTATCATGGCATTCCAAGCAACAGAGTCTCTATGTGGCATTTCGTCAAACAGTCTGCGTGCATGAGAGATTCTTCCACTCCGGGCTAAGCCCACCACCATAGACGTAGTCTTGAACAGCAGATCAGAACGCATGACAAAATCGAGTACATTCTTCATTCACAGTCACAAACTTTGGCCTTAATTCTCCACATGACAGTACCCAACGGGGAAGCCAACTCTGTAACTGTGTGCTCAAGAACATTAGATGCAAAGCAGAAACTTGACATCTCTACATAAATCGGATGCTTCAGTAAGCTTGCAAAGAAATGAGTAAACATCTACGTTTGTATATATGCATACGGATGCATAGACATACACATACCGATTTGGAGGAAGTATGATATTGCTCGAACTAAGACCAAACTTGCCAAAATAGTCATATAATTTCTTTTGAACTTAAAATTCATACATAATCACGATTCATGCATCATAAAGATTTTATATAGGTACCCAGAAAATAATAATGCTTTAACGGCATTTGCAGTAACCATATTTGTGAATACTTAACTTGCATGTAAGATTTCCAAGGAGCAGGAAAAAATGGAACTTGAAAAATAGATCTCATCTTTTTCATCCTCGTTACTTTTAAGTTTAAACTAGGGAAAATAACAAAAAAAATACTCATTAAAATTAAAAAAGATAAAAAGGTGATCTAAATAAATAAAATGGTCAAATGGACATAAGGTATGAATTTCAAATTTACCGATTTTGGTATAATGACTATTACGCCCCTAGAGTAAGACAGAAAAAACGGTTGAATATTTTCACGTATTGACACGTTGATTAAAATGGATTACAAAACTTATTACATAAATGATCACTTTCATTTTGTAAGTTGTTATTTTCATTATATATTTAGTAAAATTATAGATAAAAGCATTAAAAATAGTTGCAAATAAATAAGTTACAAATCCCCTAATGTAAATGGCAACTTCTGTTAGGTAAGTTGTGATTCTTTTTACTTGTTTTGTAAAAATGTCTACAAATAGCTTATAACAAATTGTAAAACTCCTTATACAAATAGTCACTTTTATTTCATAAGTTGTTATTATCATTAGATGTTTAGTAAAATTATATACAAATAGATTAGAAATGGTTACAAATAAAGAGATTGTGAAACGCATTATGAAAATTGGTATATTTATTTTGAAAATAGCTAATCACTTCACAAATGCTGTTAAAAGCTACCTTCATTATAATGAAACCTAAAGGAAAACTAAATCCAAGTTCCTCAAGTCACTGAAAAAGGTTCTTTGAAATCACATTGCCCTCGTCGCAAGAGTAGATTGCCGTCACTGAAGTTGGTTACTGTTGTTGAAGTACATTTTCCTGTCTGAAATAACTCATACTCCTTAAGATTGCCGCGGTCGAGAAGGTCGCTGAAGTAACACTGCCAACTGTGATAAACAAATAGGAGGCTTAAATATTGTTCTTCATAAAGCATTTTCGATGGGTCCCAAAAGCTTAAAATGTTATTGTCTAGCATTCCTCTTTCTGGTTCCGTCTCTACTCTTTACATAAAATTGTTTTCAGAGAATATAAAGCTGCTTGATTTTCTAGTATTATTAAACCATTTGTCCTAAATTTTACAAAATACATACTGAGATTTATAACTTTCGTAGTGAAAATGACCACTTTGTTAATGAGTTTTGCAACATGTTTTCAGGATATAGGCAACTTTTTTCTAAAAACTAATAAAATTCTATGCTAAATTTGACAAAACACATAGTGAGATCTACAACTTTTGTGGTGAAAACGACCACTTCTTTAATGGGTTTTGCAACTTGTTTTCAAGGGATAGGCAACTTGTTTCTAGAAACCAATAAAATTTAATGTTAAATTTTGTAAAACACATAGTGGGATTTACAACTTTAAATCTTGAATAGTGAAAATGACTATTTCTTCAATGAGTTTTATAACCTGTTTTCAGGGGATAGGCAACTTGTTTCTAAAAACTAACAAAATTTCAAGTTGAATTTTACAAAACATATACTGAGATTTATAACTTTCATAGTAAAAGTGACCGCTTTGTGAATAGGTTTTGCAACCTATTTTTGAGAGATAGGTAACCTGTTTTTAACCACCAATAAAATTTCATGCTGAATTTTACAAAACACATAGTAGAATCTATAATTTTCATAGTGAAAGTGATCACTTCTTCAATGGATTTTGTAAACCTGTTTTCACCAAATGAGCAACTTGTAAACATAAATAAACCATTTAGTGGACGTGCACCTGAAGTACATCACAATAAACATTGAGTTATTAACTTTTATAATTAACTACATGTGTAATGAAATATACTATTCACGTAATGGTATTGACTAAAAACCAGTAGACATATAACAGCAGTTACGTCACATAATTGCTTGCCACCGTTTCTTGATTTTTGCTACATCATTCACCGAATACTTAATATAAACCCTCAAACCCAATAATCCTATCCCTATTTCACCATGAAGCAGCCACAAAAATGAACAACTCAAATCCCATCATCAACTTCTACTCACTTACGTAATCTCACAGGTTCACTCCCTCTCTTCTTCTCTCTATCTCTTCCCCCTTTTTTTCTCTGCTTCTTCTCTAAACTTCATTTCTCTCTCTCTCTCTCCCTCCTCCCCCTTATAGTGTTGGTGATGAAATTGAGAAGAGAAAACAAAAGACAAGAGATACCAAGTCTCAAACCCCAAGCATAATGAAATATTCATTAGGAACATACCAGAACGCCGTAGCAGAGACTGCATCTTCTTCTTCTTCATCGAACCCTTTGACAATTCATACCTAGCCTCCAGTTCTGCCGCCCTTCAAAAAAGAAGAGAACTTGAAGAGAGAGAAAATAGCTCTCTGAACATGAAATGAAAGAGAAGGCAAAAAAGGATGAGAAAAAGGGTATTGATGTAATTTGTTAAAATTTGTGAATCCCAATTTAATACCTATAAACCTATTTGTCCTTTTTGAAATAAGAATGACTAATTTGGAATTTCAAAATTCAAATGCTATTTATATGAGATTTTCCCTTTAACCTATGGTAATAAATATCCTAATTATGATGAACTGATGCGCAATTAATTTCACCAATAAGATCAATATTAATTAGTTTGAAACCTCTCTTCTTCCTTTTCCTTCCCACCCTCTTTTCTCTTTTTCTTTTTTTAATCATTAGATTAATATTTTAATGGTTGAGATTTGAATCTTTTTAAAACTATTATTAAACTATTAAATTATAAAAATAAATAAATAATAAATTGTAAACCCTGTTAAAATTCAATTATGATAGTTTGTAAATGCACTAAATATTTTGAAAATTTTTTCATAAATAATTTATAAAAATTAAAATCTGAACCATTGATAATCCAATTAGATCCTTTCCCTAGATTATGGAATATGGGCCAATCTTATATCGATTAGGCCATTTTTTTTGCTGGTTAGAAAGATATATGTGGTCGATAAATAAATAAATAAATTAAGAACCTCTAGGGTTACACATTGAATTAGGGTTTGGAAGATGATGCCAAGGGCAGAGTTGTCCCCATCGGAAAGTTCAAATTCAAAAGGCTATGGGTTCATCAATTAAAGGAGAATAGGATTAGGAGGGACTCCAAAACCAAAGAGGCATCAATTATCTCATACCAAACAAAACATATCACATGAAACCATATGACCCACTTATACCCTTTGCCACTTCTCCCAAACAAACAATTACTAACTCCATTCCCTTGTCACCATCCAATGCACACCAGCCACGTGGTGCTTCCTTTGACCCCCACCTACTCTCCATTATTTTTTTCACCATTCTTTCATGTTCATTTCCCCCCCAATTTTATGTACGCAACGTCATTTCCCTTAAATTATAAAGTTACTTTAACTTCCCCCCTCCCCCTCATCATTATAAAATTACCTGCAGGACAATCACTTTTTTCATATATATAAACTATAATAGACTCAAAAGCCTCTCAAACATTATATCCGGTTCAAATCTTAATGACATATCAATGCTATTGTGACCTAGTGCTAGGAAAAATTTTCAATAAATAAAAAATTACGAGTTCAATTCTACCCATAACTTTAAGATATAAATAATACTGGTCCTTTTATAAGTTAATGATTTTATAGTTTAATGACATGAAAAATCTCCTGAAATTCAAAATTGTAATCTCTTTACATGATCAGTCACTTATTATCTCAATCAACAGTTTATTAATTATTTAAAATGACTTTTATTAGTGATATCATATGTAAATGTTTTTCTTAAAAAGAAAAAAGAAAAAAAAAACCCATATATATCTATATATATATATATATATGCTTAGTATTTTGAGGGGGAGGCAATCATAACTCCACTCAATACTCCAAGTCTCTCATAAGGTGTCTTTCACATTCTTGATTTGTTCATCATTGGCAAAATGGCTTCACTCACTGTTCTTCATCTTCTTCTTCATCATTATCATCATCATCATCTTCATCAACCTCTTCTCTTCATATCCTTCATCCTCATCAGCTTCTCTCTCCTCTCTCCCTCTTCTTCCTCTTCTCCTTTCAGAGAACTATCACCAGACATTGCTCCTCTGCTGCCTTCCCCAGGTGGTGTTTTGCCCACTCCAACCGGTTCAGACATCCCCACCATTCCCTCAAGCCCGAGCCCTCCCAACCCGGACGATGATCTCACTGCTGCTAGCGGTCCACTCTCTGCACTCTCACCATTCGGCCCGGTTCAGCCCGATTCTCAGGCTCCTGCTGCAGTAACCCTAGCTTCTTCTGCAGCAGCCATGGCCGCTGCTCTTGCAGGTTCTCTAGCTTACTGGTTTATTATTGTATGCAGAGTCTGACACTTGCATTTTGCAGAATCACTATGTGGCTCGTTATTATTCAATTTCTGGTTAAATTGATTATTATTCTTCTGATAATCTCTTTACTATGTGTTATAATTAATTACTTCTTTGTCATTATTTTTCTTAATAATTACATATGATATGTTTTTTTTTTTTTACATGTATAATATATATGATGGACTTCCCTGGTAATGGTTTTACTGGCTCTCTGGGAATCTTTTAATTTGCTTTTGGGTGATTGATTCTACTGTAGATTTTCCTAGCTAGTTGTAATAATTCAGGTTGCCTTTTTGTGTTTGTGTTTATCCATGAAAGGCACAAAAGATCCTCTCTCTTTTTCTTTTTCCCCCTTTCGTCTTTCCAAACAGATTCCCATGATTGAAACTTTTTGCCGTCATTTTTGGATTTCCAGCTTCACGCTGGCTTCTAGCTGGATTCACAATTGTAAATTTGTAGCTTTTTTTTTTTTAGTGTTAAATTCGTAGCTTATTAACTCGGCAGATTTCTCATATAGCATTGTGTGAATAATATATTTTTTTTATAGATTTATTTTGAAACAACTATGTAATAATTTTTCAATGGAGATGAAGTAAAAATTTTAGGGAAATTTGAGAAAAAGTGTCTCATCCGAAATTGTGCTGATGAGGGAATGACTTAAAATTAGAATATTGATATTTTGAACAGACAAAATTTGCAAAGTACTGATACTTTCTACGTTTGAAAATTAACAGGTCCTTCTCACTAATAAAATTTTTGATGAATTTTTTTTTAATTTCTCCGAAATTCGATTGTGCATATTTGGGATGTTTACTGTGAGTGATTGAATAGTTATGATCAATTTTGCTTATGTATGAAACAAATACTATTGGGAGAGGTCTCAGCTACGACGCCTGATAATATCTCAAGAGATTAGTCTCTCACCGTTTGGGTGGAAGGATACTCTGGACAATCTAAAATTTTTTTTTGCTTATTTATCTTTTAGTATTTGAATTTAACCAAAACCTTTTTTTGACATTTTAAGAGGTGATTGAAAAGTAATTAACTAGCAAGAGACTAATAAAGCCATGAGATGTGAAAATACAGAGAATTTTTGGACATTATTGCGTTAATTTAGTGATGTGAAGTTTGATAATGCAGGTGATTCCATTGGACTGTCATGTCTGTTTGTAGTGTAATGAGATGTGATGGAACGTTATTTAGAAAATTGATTGGGAGCATGTGATGAGACGCATAATGATCAGGAATTAGTTGTCTTCCTTTTTTTTTAAATAAATAAATATATATTATAACTTTTACTAATATTTTTTTATTTAATAATCCAATAATGGATCACATGCATGCTGCCCTATGATCAAATTTTCAAATTAATTCATTAGCAAACAGTGTTTAGGTGAACTTTTTTTTGTCTGTTTTTGCTGTCTTCTTCCCTCTCACAAACTTTGGATTCCTTACTTGGTACTCTCACCAGTGACTTGCGTTCCCTTCTTATTAGTTGAGAATTTCAGCCTCTGATTTTAGATATGAATGCCGACATTCTACACATTTCGTTAATTTATATTATTTATATAATTAAATCTCATACCATCTAAGAAAAGAATTTAAATAGAATGAAAATCAATTTATTATCGAGTTCAATAGATATTCATGTTTTTTAAAACAAAGAAAAGCTACCTGTGTCCATTTAGCTCCACACGGGTTGGGACCAGTCTGTTTAGTGTAGGCTAGAGGTGTTTCGTAAGATGAAAAAGTATTTTTTAAAAACACTTTCCCACAAAGCGAGGAAGACTTCTCCACGTATTTATCTTGTATACCGTAAAAACACTTTTAAAATCTTAGTTTGACTTTCATCTTGGATAAATTGACGAGTATAAAACCTTGTGGGTAAGTTGGCAAAAGAAAAATAAAAATAAAAACCAAAGGAATCAAAATTTCAAGCAATGATCACATGAAACGAAATAAACGGAGAGGTTAGTGTAAAAAAAAAAAAAAAAAAAAAGGCCGAGAGTTTATTTTCTTCAACGAGAGCTCCTCACAGCTCACAAGATTTGATTTGTTTTGAACCACTTGGTTGGCATCCGGGGACAGCATGACGCCGCCGTCAATTTCAGAACTTAGAATACACCTCCCTCTAGTGATACTACCTCTAATGTTTAATATAAAATCGTAATAATTAATTTACAGATATTAAAAAATTTATTTAAATTAATTATTTATAATAAATGTTTTTTTTTTAAAATTACTTTCTTTAATCATGCATGTCGAAACTGAAAACTCTTTTAATAGTAAAATTAATATGGATATTTTAACTCAAAATAATAATAAATTTAAGAAGCAAATACATTAAGATTTTATATTTAAAACTAAAATTAACCCTTTTTTTGTGGGAAAAAAAAGAGCACTTTATATAACTCATATTTAGGGCCGAAAGTAGTAGTTTATTTTTCTCAATTTTTTTTGTAAATTTTGATTTATTGGAGAAAAAGACCTGGCTCACATGGGCGATAGTTTTGTGATTTCTCATTTCAAACATTCAATTAAATGGGAGGCTTCTGACTTTCTACATATTGTGTGTGGAAAAAAACCCCTTTACTTGAAAGTAGTCGTATTTATATTTACAAACGGATTAACATTAACAATCTATTTGGAATGACACAACTTGTTCGAGTCCATGCAATAATTTGACGTACAACATTCTATTTTCTAACCCACCAATTCTGAGGCACTGTTTCAAGAACTATTTTCAAAAATTAAAAAATAAAAATCGGGGGTTGGGGAGGGGCAAATCTCGTAAATCACAATTACATAGTAAACTTTCCGCAAATGACATGAAAATTTAAAATCACAAAAGTCATTTAAGTTCTACAAATGAATAATACTGATCCAAGAGTCATAGAAGAGAGTGCTCATACTGAAATAAGAAGATAAAATCGGTAACTTCTGAATCCCTTCAGCCAATATGGCGAACCTGTTTAAAATAAACTTCAGACTACTCTATGATAGTTTAAGCAGCTTTAGATGCAATCAGCTCCTCAATCATGTCAGCTGCTTCTTGAACGGTGGTAATTTTCTGGGCACTTTCTTCTTCAACGCTGATACCAAACTCCTCTTCAAGTCCCATCACAATTTCAACCTGCAAAAATTTTGAAAAGCAAGTCAAAATGATTAACAGCGTAAACGATAAATGGTATTTTCTTGTACCAGAATCGGGCTAAACATGTTATGGAGACAAAATTGATAGACTCCAGACAAGGACAATCCAAGCGGCCAAAAAAAAAAACTGCTATTACAAGATGAAGAGTTTGATTCAGGATAAAGGAACTGCAAAGACATCGTCAAAAGATAGTCCCGTTACTTCTGTTTATCACTCAACAACCAACTTTTACTGGCCAGGACCAAAAGGGCCAGCAAGCAGCCCAGTTTTGTGAAGGGGTGAAGAAAACTCAGACAGAGGCCTTTTTGACCCACTCCATGTGAAGAATAGGGAGTTTGGATTTCTACTTGGAGTTTCGACTCAGCTACTCTCCTGAACTACAACAGGGCAACATATCCCCTCTTGTTCAGGGTAGAGCTGCTACAATCAATTTGTCTTTTGATAAAAATGTTCAAATATTTTATAGCATGAACAGAGCAAGGACAAATGTGCCATTACCGTGTCAAGAGAATCAGCTCCAAGGGCAGCAAATTTGGACTCTCCATTGACGGAGGAGCCATCGGGTAGTGCCAATTGTTTCTTGACTATCTCGCACACCTTGTCAACTGTCTCCGGTTTAGCCTGCTCAAAATTCAAAATTACATGCCGATCACATCACATGATTACTTATTACAAAAACTCAGGCTACAATAGTGCCAAACAAAAAATTTCAAGTTTCTGAGATTTGAGCATGAGGCTTTGCCGTGATGATGGTTCAGAATAAAATCGGCTTTTACAATGTAAATAGGCCTACATGATGATCCGACTTAAAATTATAGTGCAAGGACAACCTTTTCTTTTTTGGAAGTTACAAGGAACATTTATAGGGATTTCATACATCACAATCGACTGGAACATGGCTGTTAACTAAAAGTCGAGACGCAAAACTAAAAACTAAAGGAGAAATAACCCCATTCTTATAAGCAGAAAACTATAAGCCAAAGAAAAACAATACGAGAGTTTGTTTCTGAAAAAACTTACTGCACATTTAACTTGAAATCGAGATGACCTTGATTGCAATTGAATGGATGGAAAAGTTTTCCCTTTAACTGAAAGGGAAACTGAGTTTGGCTTAGAGATCCCAGCAAGAGAGGCCTGTTTTTGCATCCAAAAAGAAGAATTAAATGAGCATCGGAAGAAGCACATAGTTAGAAATAACCACAAACACGGGAAAAAATAAAAATAAGACTAATATCTTCTTCTAACGTCAGTGAGCACAAGGAAATCAATAATTAAACTGCTAATACACGCCACTAAAATGTGACATAGAAACTAAGAAGCAGTTAACCAGTAAATCACCAACTGTGCTAAAAATGAGAAATGTCGTCTAAAATAAGTACATCCTTTCCATCAAAACAACGGCTAACTGACATAAATTTATAATGGACTCCGGATGGTACTTCGACAAAGCTACCATGCCATTGGTGACGACTCTGTTAAAGCTTCAAAGGAAATAACTCAGAGGAGACCTAGTAAAAGTTAAAAGCAGGCAAGATCTTCAGGCTTCCAATCAATTACTCAGTTCCCTTCAAGGTCTGATTTGGTTAGCATAATTACAGACCAAAGAGTTGGACAAATATGTCAGTCATATTTTTAAAGGAAAACGAGCAAGAAAACCTCACTTTTTATTTGCAGGTGCACAGTCATATTACATCGAAATATCAGACATCAACAAATCTCCAGCTCAATTTCACAATCGAAATATCAGACATCAACAAATCTCCAGCTCAATTTCACAAGAAATATAAAAGGAAAAAAAGTTTCCAAAACAGATAAGCAGGTTCAATAAACACTGTGTCTACTCTAATACATGATGCACTCATGAACCAGTGATGAATGTGTTTCAGGTGAATGCATAGGGTCCGAGCAGCTTTAAGACAGGACATAGACTAAAAGACCATGACCGCACATTTTACCAACACAATCACCAGCGAAATCTAGGTAAATCAACCGGAGAAGCAAAAAAACAGGAAGAAGAAGAAGAAGAAGAAGAAAGGCTTGAATTGCAATACCGGTCTGTGCTTGAAACAGCTGGAAAGAGAGGTCGCGGAGATGGTGGTTCCAGTTATGGAGGCCATTTGTGGGAGAGATCTGGGGAAAGAGAAGTGAGAAAGGAAGGAAGATGAAGGCGGAGGCCACGAAGCGTGTGCGCGTCTGTGCGTGAGGTTTTAGAAATGAGGAAAAGGGTCTTTATATTTGCCGTCGTATCCGTCCTGGTTGGTTCAGCTTCGTAACTATCGAAGTTGATGGACGGTGTTTGGCTTCCCTTTTTAGCCCCTTCCCTACATGTGCGCGCGTCAATCCAGCAGGCTTTTAAAACATGAAAGATTTATAAATTGCTCCTCCCTATAATTTCTAGTATGAAAAATAAATAACTCATTTATAAAAATTTATTAAATTAGTCACTACTCTGTTTCTTATTATAAGATCTTTTTAACTAAATCACACGGTTTAAAAAAATAATTAAAATTAGTTAAAAGTAATTAATATGTAGCAAATGTAATTTTTTTTCCAAATATACTCCAATACATAAATAGGTAGATGTGATAGAGTAATAATGAGATAAATGAAAAAAGAGAATGTATTAAATACATTAAATTATGGCACAAATAGGTAATAATGTATTAAATATTTAGACAGGCTCAAAAGGAATTTTATAAAAAGAGATAAAACTATTCAAAAAATTAAATCTTATAATAAAAAACGGAGGGAGTATTTATTAAAGCATTAATGCTGCATAAATAGTTTATAAAACATTATAAATTTATGAAACAAAATAAATTAAAACCTGATACTTAAAATTAAAATAAATTCTCTACTTATCACTTATTTGTTTTTATCTATAGAGTCGCTATGTGTAAATTAAATTTCTGAAACAAAAAAAAAAATTCTTTGGCCTACTTTTTAGCCGGTCCTCACCACCTACAAAGTCGGAACTCTAAAGGTGCACTTTATTATGGTCTTTATTATAAGCACTTAATAATAATTTTAATAAAATTAATTATAATTAGTTATTTCCTATAAAATATCATAATATCCACGATGAAAGTAATCAGTTAGAAAAGTTTGGTCAATTAATTAAAAAAAAACTTTATAGTTAGTAAGAAATATGTGAAAAAATTAATATCTTAAATAAAACAAGTTATATTATGAAATATTTCGAAACTTAACCACTGGGGTGGCTGCTAAATGTGTAAGTGGGATTGCTGGTAAAAATATAGTAACAATAATAAATGTGTGAGTGGGATTGGAGGAGGATAGTCAAACGTGTTAAACAATTTTTTGTCGAATGGAAAATTCTGGAGAGTCCATTGCCAACTACTCACATTTTAGGTCCAACAATGTAAACCTACTTCAAGAATGTCACCGTATTGCTGATTAGAATAGAAGATCTAATTAATTGATTCAAAAAGATTAATAAAACTAAATAAATTATTTTAAAATATTTATATTTATCATTTTTTTCTTCAAACTAATTTGCCTGACTTATATTCTGATATATAATATAATGCATATAAGTATTTTAGAAAAATTATGTAACATACTCCTCCGATCCTTATTATAAGACCTCATTTGACTTTTTATTTGGTCCTAATTATAAGACCCCAATCCATTTTGTCTCTTATATTTATGCATTTTTTCCAAGATAATCCTTCTAATAATGATAGTTTTAGCCAATATACTTAATTAGCAAGGATATTTTAGGAATGACAACACTTATTTATTATAAATAACCAACTTAACTTACTTCCTTAATCTCCTCAAATAAGTCAATTGGGTCTTATAATTAGGACCGGAGGAGTATGTTATAATTAAGTAATTTATTTAACTTTTTAGCCTAAATAAATTACTCCATTGGGTATTATATTAAAGACAATATAGTGTTTATATTTGATCTATAATACAACTTCTAGATTTCATGTTATATGTTGGTATGTCGATATTAATATTAATATTACCATCCCCAAGTTTGGTATGCTGTTTTAAGGGGAAAAATTTTTTTAAATGAAAAGAAAGGGGGTTTGATCATGAGAAGTGCCACTTTGTTGTGACTTTAATTGCAGCGCTGAAGGATGCATCACCACAGCATAGTGAAGCTGAAAAATTCCTACCTATTGGACCCAAAAAAAAGATTTGCTTGTCATGCTTCTGTACCCGTAAAGATAAGCCTTAGTAAAGCAAACATTAGGTGCCCTGCTATTGGATCGTGGGTGAGCCCAACTTTTTTCCTAAAATTTTGCTTTAGGAGTAATAGCAATATCATATGGATGAATATTTAATATAAAAGATAAAATCCAGAATAAATCATACTATTTCTAAGTTAGAAACCTTGTAATTCATAAATTTTGCTTTAAAGTACGGGATGCTACTTAGTTTTAACATATTTTTCCTTCAGCTGGCAAAAAAAAAATAATAATTTTCCTTATAAAATTCAGTTAACGGATCATTGTCTAATAATTATCCGCAATTAGTTTGATTTCTTGCAAAACAAATGAATTTTTCTCAACTAAGCGATTATTGTTTCTATAAATGATTCAACACGAAAATCTCGAAGTAAAAACTATGTGAAGTAATTTTCTTAGTATTTTGTTATCTCAAGACCAATAACTGGCTGGTTAAAGAGTTTGATCCTAACAATCTCACCTACTTTTATGTTGACAAAGCCATAACCAACTGTTTCAAATATCTAGGTTAACCACAGAAGAAAATGTTCAGAATAACTCACTAGCAAAAAGAAGAAGAAAAAGGGTTCAGAATAACTCCTCTTTAATGCCAAATCCCCTTCTTTGAACATTTTTTTTAATATAATAAAAGTATACAAATGTGTTAACGTCGAATTAAAACTTAAAAACTCATCCAAACATGATGAGTAATGTTGTCACTTAGGCAACTAGCTATTAAAATCTAGAATTTTATAGTCAGGATTTACTAATGAAATGACTGTTTGGCATTCTCTCTAAAAAAAAAAAACACTTTTGCATTTCAAAAAACAAAACTCCTCCCTAAAATTGCATTCTACAGTATAAAATTACTTAAAATAAACTAACCTAGACGTTTCTCAAGTTATTTAGATAGTGTTTGTTAAGTAATTTGCAATTGGTTTTATTGGGTATTTCCAATCTAATTGTGGTTTTGTCAAATTTTGTATCCTGCAAAACGTACATCCCACTCCTATCTACACATCACATTCTATCTATTTTGCTCTTCTTTTTCTTAGCCTAGAAAAGAAGAGGAGTAACTAAAACAATCCAGAGAAAATAAATTAGATAAGCCAGCCAGTGTGGAAGCTGGAGGGGTGTACATTTTGACCATTGTTGAAAGCTTTGAAGAGTATGAATTTAGCAATTTGATAGAGAAGTAGCCAAGCCAGCTTTAGGGTCTGTTTGTGAGGACGTTTTGGTGGGTAATCATACGATGCAAATGACAAACCGTGCGATTGGTAAAATTTGATTGTTTGTATTGGCAATGGGGAGATCGTGCTTTTCCATCAAAAACCAGAACCAGTTATAAGTAAAAGCTTGCTACTCATGACTTTTCAATCGTGAAGAGAGAAAAAATTAGAATTAGTAAGTAGTGCTAAACAGTGGAGAGAGAAGTTAAAAAGGCGTTAAGTTTCGCTTTTAATGAATTTATTACTCATTCTATTTTTTATTATAAACTTCAAATAATTAGTTTATAAATAAAAAAAAATTAGTTAAAATTAACTGAAAGTGATAAATAAATTATAAATATACTTTTGATTTCAAATACTCCTCCGGTCTTATAAGTCAGAATAAAAAAGGTTTTTCTTGATTTTATTTATAAGTCATCTCATTAAATTTTTAGTGTGAATATACTATTTTGTCTTTCATTTATTATAATGTAAATGATTATTTTTTAATAATAATCTACTTTTACAAACTGAGTTATTTACAAAAAATCAATTCAAACGTAAATCACATTACCTGATCTAACTTTTATCTAATTTAACTTTTTTACAAGTCAAATTAAAAATAACTTACTTTTTCTACCGTCAATCCAAATAGACCTTTAGCTAGCATACGGGCAAGAGACAAATAAACCTTGCAGAGTTTTCTCATTACAACATCCAAATAAACATTGACCAGATATATTTAAACAACTGCAGCCATGTTTCTAAACATTGTATAATTCTACATTCCAAATGCTTTTCCTTCAATCTCCTCCAAAGCAACGTCATACTGCCTCTGATCTTAAATATATTACTGCATCTGTGCTACAAATTGGATCTCATAATTGAGACATGGGATAATAATATATTATTCCGGTCTTTAATAAAAGATCTATCTAACTAATTTGATTAAATTAAGAAATTTATGTAAGTTAATTAACTATGAAAAATATAACACATTTTTTCTAAAACACCATAATAATTTTTCTTAATATCCTCTCATTCTCCTACTTGATTATGGTTGAAGGAGTACCATTAGAGTAATTTAGAAAAAATTTATAAATATAAAAAATAGATCTTACATTAAGAACCAAAATTAACTCAATAATTTGATTCTGTATTAAAGATCATAGGAGTATTTAATGATATGTGATTATTAACTCTCGTTAGCTTATGGAAGATAGTGTTGCAATTCAGTGGGCCTTTCTATCCAGATTCCCAATATTCACATCCATTAACGAATCCAAATTACTAAATGAAGACTCATAAGAAATGCACAATCGAAGATGCTTTTATTTGAACAGGTGTATATCATAAAATTAGTATAAAGTTAGTACAGACACCTTAACCCTTTAAATTAATATCCAATGATTGGAGTTCTTAAGGTCTTTGGTACATAATAAAGCATTATAATACGCAGGCTAAAATATATTTTCAGCATATTAACTTTATACAAGGTTTTGATTTTGTCTATTGTCTTTAAAAAAATATATTTTTAGTTATCTAACCTTAAAATTACTAACAAAAAATAATGATATTGATATATGAAATGTTGATAAAACATTCTCAAATGTTGATATATATTGAGTTTAATTCTCAAAACAATTATGATTATTACAAATAAATTAAAATATATTACTTTTTAAAATTAAGAAATTAAACCGATACGTTGTAAAAGGTTAAAGAACAAAATGTATATTTTTGCCTGATACATATAGGGCAAATCCCATGAAAAGAAATTGAAAATTATTAAATTCTAAATCAAGATTGTTTTCTACACTTCAGTAAGTATTTTACTACACTTGACTTGCAAATAATAATACATTTTTTATAGGCATTTTTTATTTAAGATTTGAAAATTTTCAAATTGTCAGATTTTCTCATGCATACATGCATACATATGCACATGCAAGTATGCGATTCAAAATGGATGTGAAGCGCGACAATTTCTCCCAATTATTCTCGTGTAAAACTCTCCCTTCCTCTTGTCAGGTTGATTACTAATACATTCTGGTAGTTTTATAACCTATTAATATTTACCACCTTCTGTCCTAATTATAAGAGTTGGTTAACTAATCAAATGTGTTGGCTGGAACTATTATTATTAGAATGATTACTTTCAGAAAAAATACATAAATATGATAAACAAAATGGATTTGGGTCTTATATTTAGAACCAAAATAAAAATCAAACAAGGTCTTATATGTAAGACCGGAGGTAGTATTATATATGTGTGTGTTTTAGTATTAATATCACGCTAAATTACATATAACCCCATCGAACTTTATGTTTTATACATGCATAAATTTATCCCATGATTCATTTTGTTCGTTACTTATCCATATAAGCTTAAAGTTTATGTGGTTATCTGCATACAACTGAAAGCTTGAAGGTGTTGCCCTCACACAAAAATAAAGTTCAAGGGGATATCCACGCAAACTTAAAAATTCAAAGGGGTTTACTTATTAAACTTTAAATGTTAGGATGGGAGGTTTTTGTATAATTTATCCTCAATATTTTAATATTTAAATTATTAATTTCATTATGAAAAATAATACTCGCTTCATTACCACATATAAGTTACAATTTTTGGGTTACAAGAGGCTGACAACTTCATTCCATGATTTATATCTCATGGGTGGAGGGAGTATTTATTTGGAAAAATTAAAAAATACCTCTTCAATTTTAAAATTTTAAATCAGTCTTATTTATTATAGTTAGGACCCATTCAGAATCATGATTATAAGTATCCACAAGTATATTTTACACAAGTCAAGACAAAATTCCTCTTATGTACATTTTACCTTATATTTTATAGATCGTGATTGAAAAACTGTTAATAAAACATATCGAACAGACCCTTAATAACAATATATTATATTTGAAAAGGAAATTATAATATATTTTTATAGCAATTTCTTATTTGAAAATTTGAAATTTAAGAGGGATGTTTTTAAGATTTTTTTTTTCAATTTATATTTTGGTGACTATTATAAAAAACTATTTTCAATACACTTCGTGCAATATTTTAGTTTTTGAACAAGGGAAGTAGTACAGCGTAGCCGATGACACAGTGTGGTGCAGAGTACGATAGAGCTAATAGCTATTGGTCAAGCTAAACGCTTCTATACGCGCGGCCAAGCTCGCTTCAGACATAGCCTCTCTCTTTTTGGCTTTGCCATCTCTCCCTCTTCTCCCCCACGGAGGAGAGAGAGAGAAACTTCCAAGAGTCCATATTTTACGTGCGAGCAAAAATAGCATACCCAAGCAAAAGATAAATTCTCTGCTTCTCTGTTTTCTAGGGTTTTCGCTCACGCCATTGTCGTCCTTACTCGCTGCTCCTCCGGTCCTCCCCCCTGTTCTGCGCTGGCATTGCTCTGACTTCATCTGTATTTGGCTGTTTGATTTCAATTTTCGGATTTCTTCCCCTTTTAAGAGGATTCTGATTGGTCTATTGGTCAATCCATTTTCTTTCGGTTTAAGGTGAAGTACTACTTTCTTGCTGCGATTTTTTTTTTCCTTTATTTTTTCAAATTTCCGATGCTTCATTCTTGCAAATATGTGGTCTGTATTTTGGACCTTCGTTGATTGGCTGGTACTTTTGATGGAATTGGTTGTTTGGGTTTAGGCCTATTTGAGACTGATGTGATTGTTGTAATGTGCAGATATACCATATCCTGCTCTCAATGGTATGCTCGCTTGGGAGTGGGAGAATGGCAGTCATTGCAAGGCTTCTGGCTGCTGGGAGGTTCTCCCCAACTAGGGCAGGTAGATTGAATCGAGCTTTAGAATTTATTTCTCTCTCCTTTTTAGGTGGGGAATTGACTTTATGCCCCTGAACTATTGCCAAATTACAACATTGGCGCCTGAAGTTTGAAAGATGCTCGTTTGCCCCAAGAAGTCAGGAACTATCATAAAAGGTGGAACAATCATTTATCTGTCAAAGATTGGGCCTTTGAAAATTAGTTTCCCCAGGTTGTTTTGGAAATAAAACTACTAATATCACTTTGAGAAAGACTAGCTTCCCATAAAACAAATAGCATTAGAGCTTAGTTCAGAGAGTATAGTGTTACATTTTGAATCTAGGCTCCAGTTCAGGGATACGAAGTGTGCCTTCTCCTTTTTTGTGTGCTTATTGATTATGCTTAGCTTTTGCATGCTTTCATAATATGTACTTGGCAAGGTAAGAGAGTCACAGGGTTATGGTTCTTTTTAATATCTGATCAACATTGTACTCCCTTGCAAACCTTTGGAAGAGGAGATTGGCCATCAGAAGTCAGCTGCTGAGTATGTTTTCAGAGACCTGCGAGATGCTGATGAAGCAAATTTGCTTGACGAAGAAGGTGTGGATACCTTCTTTATACTCATTGTCTTAGTTTTGACTGGATTTGATTACTGAGTGAAGGCAATTTCTGTCAATGCATTGCTCAGAAGTTTCTCCTTAACATTGAATAGATGAATATATGACCATTTTTTTCTTGGCAATACGCTTCTTCAATGCCCTATTGGTAGTTGTGGCCTCACCAGCTTGTTTTGTATATTTTATTATGCTATCCTGCTTCCATTTTTGCCTGTGGTTAAATTCTATATGAATAAGACTTAAGACAGGCATCACTTTACTATTATATTCTGTCTCCTCTTTGTTTGTTTGAATTTGTGTTCACAACAGAAACTAACATGTGGCTTCTAAAATGTTGGATTATCCTGGGTGGTTAGTTGTGGACTTCCTACTTATTTGACTGAGTTTTATAACTCATAAGTATGGTAACTTCAGTGTTGAAAAATACTAATTCGCAATGTGAAATTAGAAGGCGCTGCTAAAGCCAGCATTCTTAAATTAACAGACGCAAATGTACTTTTTCCCCTTGGGTGAGTCATAGAAGTGCTGTTATTTTGGATGGGAAAGCAATTCTGTGGTGGACTTGTTTTAAGATGCAAAAATTTTGTGGTTGTCATCTCATACTTTAATATGCCTATTGGAATCTTGGTTTACTCGATTGGTCATTTAATATCCCTATATTGCACAGCTACACAAAACCATTTACTATCCTTTCTTATAGTCTAGCCAAATCAAGAAGCTTTGAAGATTGGTCATATATATTGTTTTTCTATATATTTCTTAACTTACAGGTTTTCACCTGAAACTTTCTCACTAAATTGATAAAGAACTCTCTCTGAAGAAAGTTCACACCAACGCTGGTACTTAGAGAAATATAAATGGTCCCAAAGCCCAAATTTTTACGCATCAGGCATACCTTAAAATTGCTTGTTTAATTTGTTTCATTCATATTTGTCAAATTGTAATGGAAATTTGAACTGAAAAGCATATCTATGAGATGCAGATCATAACATGCATTCAATCATAACATTATAAGACGTGGCATAATTATATCCTTATAATATGCATGAAACACTCATAATGGCAAATCTAACCAAAAGATTAGAAAAGTGCTTAAACTTGGGTCATGGATTAGCTTATTAGTTGTAAATTTGTAATTAATTCTTGAAATCATCCCAAGTAATATACTGATTTGATTTTTTTCAAGTAATACACTGATTTTTTTCAATTAATTAGAAAAGTACTTGAAATCCCGTATTTTCAACACTTGAGAGGATTACAACAAGCCAAACCAACTCACTGTTTTCATGCACTTTGGAATTGTAAAATTGTTCAATTCTGTTGTATTGATTTGAATTGCTCACTTATGGTCAATTCAATCATCAATTCTTTTGCATTGTCACGTGAGAACTTGACAAGGAGGAACTAGTTATGTCCCTCAATCCCAACTCATTGATGGAAAATATGGGATGCTCATGTTTGCCTTTTGTTTCTCCTTTTTCATTTTTCAGCTTTTCATACCACTGTTTAGTGTTTTTTCTATTGCAGATATGCATGTGTATGGTTTGAGGCCTATGTCTGATCCTTTGCAGCTGGTAAGGGTTGCCTCTTGTTCGCTTTTTTTATCTAATCCATGGTAGCGGCATTAAAATTTTGTTACTGAGGTTAGAGTGCATTCATGATTACCTTATTGAGAAATACTCCTGAAACAACTGCAGCTTAATAAATTCTTGTTACTTTAATTTACATATATTCTGTCTAATGTTATGATTGCATCCATCTGTCTTTTTTGTAAACAATTAAACACTGAATGACCCTAGCCACCTTGTACTGTTGATATTTGGAGTACATGATATGATAATCAAATCTGCATTTGTGTGTGCGCACCACGTGGGAAATGGGGCAGAGTACTTACTGCATTCTTTAAGCTCTGTAAGTTGTCACTATTGTTTAAGGTCTTTGCTTTTGGATATGTGGCACCAGTGCATTCTTTGATACCTTATTATTCAAACCTTTTTATTTTTTTGTGAAATGCTTAATTCCTTTCTTAAGTTATATGATGCTTAGCAAGGCCAAGGGTTATAGCTGCATTGGTCTCTTTCTTGATTTATATTCATTGGGAGTTTCACTTGTATGCCACCTGAAGAGGACTCCTGTTTCTGGTGTAGTTTCTGCTGGTTAACAGAAAAACAATTTTTGGTTTTGACCTCCGCCTCCTTACATATTGTCATACTCATCACAAAGACAGCGTTCTGCATAGTTCATTGGGAGAAATTTCTGCCTTTCATATCAACTTTTTAAGTCGTGCAATTGATTGATTGATATATGTAAATATGTGTATATGTTATTAACCAAAAAAAGAGTATGTCTACTTTCACTTAATATAATTGACTGTTTGGATAATTTTGTAGGTATGTTGTAATGCTTGCAAGAAGCCCGTTCAGGCCAGCCAATATACTGCTCATGCAGGTAGGACTGGACTTTATTTACCTTTGGTACTTTGCATGAGATCCGGAAATTAAAAATCTGTTAGCATTTGGCAATAATTTTCATTTTTTATCCATACAAATTCTGGGCATCTATTTCTGTTAGTCTCATATTTTGTATAGGCCTGCATATGGTGATGGCTATTTTATAATCTGCGTATTTTTGGGTCCTTTTGCATGCGAAAAGGATATGAAGTCACTAATATTGGGTTTTTACCTTTTTTTCTTTTTGTTGGTTTTTTTGTTTTTTTTTGGGTCTCTCTTTGCCCCCAATTCTTCAGAACTTTGTAGGTCATTAAAGTATACAGAACAAACTATTTTGGAGATTGATGGCAGCATGGGTTATCGAAAGCCCCCAAGGAAAGAAAAGAAAAAGTTATCATCAACTTCTTGTGCTAGTATCCACATGATAATAATCAAATTAATTAATAAGTTGGAAATACTGTTTAGTGCTCAGTTCTTTTATCTTCCGAAAGTGAAAGTAAATCTATGATATATTTACCTTCGAAAATACTGTGTACTTATCATGCCTTCCAAAATTCATTTTCACTATACCTTAAAAATTTATTTCAGTGAAGCAGTCTTCTCTTGTTCTTGTCACATGGTAATCACAGTTAGTTGTAATATAAATTTTTGTACCTCCTAACCTGTCAAAGGACCAAGCTTCAGCAGCTGGGGAGCAGGGAAGGGCTGAGGCTGTGGATTCTATTGATACTTGTCTTTCCCAACCCCCCACCGAACAAAAAAAAAAAAACTTTGTGCCGGTGGTTCGCCCAGTTTGCTACATTTTCGTAGGATAAATCAACTTGTTTATCAGTTCCCCCCCCCCCCCAAAAAAAAAAAAAGGCATCTGGACCAGATAAATAGGATTACTGCTATGCTCATAACTTCTATTTGATATAATTACTCTGATCCTTTCCTCCTCCAACAACCAAATAAATTTTAGCTATGCCTTTAACATGATTTTTGTAACGGAAAAATTAACTTTTTTTTTTCCCCCTTTGATTCCTCTTGCTCCTGGAAAAATATATCACTGTGGGGGACTGCAGTTTTTTTATGTTTCAAAGTCGTTGATAGAATGGTAACTAAGATATATTTTTTTTCATAAATAGTGCAATGTAGGTAGTTGACATTGACATTTTTAGGGTGAGGTGGGTCACGTATATATGGTTTAAACTTAATTTTCTTGGCATGGTTGGGTATATATGTCTGGCAGATTTGTATTCAGGGAGCTAGTGTTGAGTTTCTGATAAGGATCTCAGTTATGCTACAAAATTTATATACTAGTTAATTGGAAAGCTTCATCTTTGTACCAGTTTCCTTAAATACTCATGTAGACGCAGCATCTATGATGGACGGTACAGGATTTAATCTTGGAAATAGAGATCACCCAGCTTCTGTAATGCAACCTCCTACAAAACGTCATAAATTGTATGCTTCCTTAGTTCTTGATGCATTTATAGTTTTTGGAGTCAGATCACTTTGACGTCATTATTGCCTTATGCCCGAGAAATGTGTTGCTCAATAGATTCTATTTTCTTTTCCAGTATCTTTTGGCAAAAAAAAAAAAACTGTAATCAATTGAAAACTTTTTCAAACACCTTGTTCCTGTTGATTAACTCCCACTTCTCTCCCTCCTCTCAAAAAGTAGTTCTTCATTGAGTAGAAAACCAGTTGCAGAGATAGCAAGGCTTTCGTAATCAACAATGAAATATCTTGGCATCAGACTCAATAAAAGCTTGTCATTGAATCTTTATACTTCCCTTTTATGAAATCAGGACCAGCTGTGATGCGTGTTAGCCCAAACTGCTGGCGGGAAGGCACTGTATATGACTATAAGTTAAATTTTAGGACTCTATTCATTACTCATTGTGCAGTTTTAAAGTTTTCTTTTTTTTTCTTTTTTTAAATTTTACGTTAGGGGAGTTGGAACCCTGGATTACTACCTACACCTTGCCCCATTCTTACCACGTGAGTTGCTATACCCTTTCTTAATTTGTAGAGTATCATGCTTCTTCTTTCCCCCTGCAGGATTGCTGGAGGACATTTACCTCTACCAGAAAGTCCTGCAACAGAATCTGGAGTGACTAGATCAGCAAGCTTCGCAAATAAAAATACTTGCAAAGGTGCATATATTTCTGTTGAAGCTGTTTGTTACCTCTGAAGTCAGAATGTATAAGGATGAGTGTTTTCTAGTGCATCCTGGTCTATGTTTTATCATTAAAAAGGGAGAGAATTGTAACTTTGGTCATTAAAAATATACCTAGGTTTAATTTATATTCATGCCTAATACCATTTCAAACTGGCTCGTATGACTGTTTTAATTTGCTTCAACTTTGTTGCTCTGTATATTGCATTTGCACTAGATGTGGAGCGTACTGGGGGGTATGGAGGGGTCAACTAGAAGGTAAAAATATGAAGAGGGACCAAAATGAGGAAGTACCCTTTCTCTGGCACTTGTGTCATATTTTTTTATTTGGCTCAGGCAAACAGGCTTCATTTGTTCTGTGTCTCGAGAAAATCACTCCAATGCTGTTTGTTTAATGGAAAAAGTAACTGGTGAAACCGATCTGTTTTTATCTGCACCTGTGCTCTTATTGACTTTCATTTGTAGTGTGCACAGTGCACATTTAGCTATGATGTAATTTCAGGTCTAAAGCTCAGAAAAACTTCCTGGCCATTTTTACTGTATTGTATAATCATCTTTGCGAAAGTGGGGTGGGGGAAGCATAACCTAGTTTTTTTTATTTATTATTTTTATTTTACTTTCCAGGCGGGGATGTGTTGGAAAGAACTGTCTCTGAACATGGAGCTCCTAACCATAAAAATCTTAGGCTTGTCCAAGAGCAGCACCTTACTAAGAGAGGTATTAACAATGGCATATATTTTCAATCAGTTCGTTAACCCTGTAATTCTTGTGGAAATGTTTTGTAACCCTTTCCAAACATTTCCTTATTTTTCAGTTCTTTGTTTCTGATGTGACTTGCCATCCTCTCCCTCACCTGTTGTGTACAATGCATATGTTTTAATTGAATTAGATGTTGCCGCACCCCTTGCTACAAAGGTGTATTATTCGCAAAGGAACAATCGTCTGCGTGCAGCACTTCGTCATCTTTACTTTCAGGAATCAAGCAATGAATCATGTACAGATATTGCCAGTCCAAAGTCGTCAAATGAAATGATAGCATTCCAAGATTCGCGTCATGTGGACCCTTTGTTTGGACAAAAGAATAATGATAACATGGAGGTATTCAATTTTCCTTCCTATGATTTTACGTACTTCTATCACATATTGATTCCTTCAGCAAAAAAGATATGTGGCTTGTTGGAACGCTATTGCTGATGTATTCATGAAGCATAGACAATCTAACTTAAAATCAGTTAAAAGGCTGGTTCCCCCCCCCCCCCCAAAAAAATTAAAAGAAAAAGGAAGTATTATGCTATCTCCAGTCCTAGATATGGGAAGTAGTCAGTAGTCTTCAATATAAGACTCCAATTTATTTTGTCTTATAAATTTATGATGTGTTCTCAAAAATATCCCTATTGATTTCAATGTATATAATTGAATAACGGTAATTTAAGGATGTCAACATACATTTGTTTCAAATAACTAATTTAACTAATTTCTTTAATCTCTCTAAATTAGTTATCTAGATCTTATATTAAGGACCAGGGGTAGTATTTATATTGATATCTATTGTCTGGTTATGCTTTCCTGGCTGAAGAACCCCTCCCATCTAAGAAAAACCTAAAGTTCCAGGCTTTACTATTGTACTTGATTTGGTAAATGAACGAGCTCTGACTTGCATCATTATTTCTTTCGGAAAACAGGGTCACTTACGAAATTTGAGCTCAGCACAAAGTCCGAATCATATTCTTGGAAAAAGTTCAGACATGAGCTTTGGTAAAGCTGAAAACCTACCGACTAGTAGCTTGTCAGATCAGTTAGTTGTTAATGTTTCAAGGCCTGCAGCCCCTCCTCTTGGTTTGACTAGAAGCAGCTTTCTTCAAAAGCCTTATTCTTTCGCAAACAACACAGGTAATCTGCTTGTGAATTGGATTTTGGTAACTTTTGAATGCCATTTCTAACATATGCTTACCATTAGAAGGGTGTCTATGAGTATAAAAATGTCAGTGGATTCACAGTGTTAACCCTTGTGGTATGACTAGCATTAAAGACATGATGCATTGTTATCTTTGATTTTAAATGAGCAACTCATCTCTCATCCAGGATAACATGTTTGTATCTTTGTTATTTTTCAAGTTAGATTATTGTGATGACGGGAATAAGTTCAAGTTGTACACGAGTGATGTGTTTGCTTTTGTAGGAAATCCAATGGGAACAATTCAGCAACCAAAGGGGAGTGTTCCTGTTAAATAGTAATCTTGCAGGGATTTTTTTTCCTAGGTGAAATTATAGTTCAACTAATACTCGAGGTTAGGATTTAGCATCCCTTTTTTGAAGCTGATAAAGCAATTTTCTCAAATTGTTCATTCTATCAGTGTCATCTGCTTTGTAAATGAACTCTGATCTCTGCTATAAAGGAATGAAAATTCTAAGAATTATGTTAGTCCCTTTTCTTGAATTTATGTTTTTGTTGCTTGCTTCCGTAAGTGAGGTGTCATTTCCCTTTGTCAATAAAGTAATTAAATAACAAGTGAGAAAAGAATGCAGCAGCAGGCTCGTTGCAGTACAGAATTGTATAAGTTATGGTCTCACAAGGGTTCTTGAAATGAGGAGATTAATTTTGGACTTGAAGCTTTCATTGGGCTGGGTGCTCTTAAATTCTGGAGAGAATAGTTTTGGGCCCAATTATTCAGTTGTTGAAAGCCGGTCTGTTATTCATACTGGTGATGCTGTATCTCCAAACAGTAATTTGAGAAAGCTTTCTGTCTCGATTCATAATCTGCTTGAATCTGATTTATCCTGAATCAAGGAACTGTTGAAGTTTTAGATCATAGAAACTTGTTTCGTGTCTCGGAGGATTCTGAAAATTGTGTCCTAAATAAGCTGCGAAGAAAAAACAATTTACCGCACAAGTCACTTCACTTTGCCATGTCTGGACAGGACAAGAGCCAGGTATGGATTGGTAATTTAAGTATTAGGTAATCACAATCAGAGAGAGTTATGAATGTTATCCTGTAATGCAACCAATATTTAGTCGCTGTCTTTCTTTTGAATATTGTCTGTGGTGCAACCACCATGTCCTTTAGTGAGCATGGCATTCAGATTAAGATTAAATGTTAGATATTTTGTTAAATATCTTGCATGATGTAAACACTGCATATGTATGAATGCCAAGGATATGGAATCCAACTCCAATGGGGGAATCAAAGTGGATATTTATTTCAAGGTTTGGGATGGGGTGGGGGGGACCAGGTAAGTGGCTGGGGGTGCTCGTGTGATTGCTACAGATTTGTCTGGTACAGGGGATGTTTTATTGTAGTAGACTAGTTGTCGACATCTTTCATATAATATTCGAAAGCAGTATCTTGGCTTGTGCCTGCTTAACGGCAAAAAAATCTGTGAAATATCTGGAATAAGGCAGCCCGCCGTGCTAGTTGTTTACACCGAGTGGAGCATCTGGATCAGTGTCTCGTTGGGAAAAGAACTGATCCATTTTTTACCATTCTGATAACGACAAGCCTGCCTAAGAGAATATTACGGACGCGTTTTTGCTTTACCTGTCGTCTCAACTCTCAAATCCTTGTGGCATGTACATAGTGGGGGCGCTCAATATTTAACTGCATGATATCTGGTACTAGTATTGCCTCCGGTCTTTGATATTACCTCCGGTTTTTAATACAACGTCTTATTTGATTTTTATTTTAATTCTAATTATAAAACCCCAATTTATTTTATCATTCATATTTATGTATTTTTTCTCAATATAGTCCATTTAATAATAGTAATTTTAGACAAAAAATCTGATTGGTAAGGATATTTTAAGAAAAACAACACTTATTTATTACAAATAACTAATTTAATTTATTTTTTTAATCTCTTTAAATTAGTCAACTAGCTCTTATAATTTGGATCAGAGGTGGTATAAGGTTTTGTTTGATGTTATTTTGGTTCTAAATATAAAATTTTGATCTACTTTGTCCTTCATATTTATGTATTTTTTTTCAAGTTAGTTTTTCTAATAGTGATAGTTCTAGTCAATACACTTAATTAGTAAATATATTTTAGAAAAAAATAACATCTATTTAATTACAAATAACTAACTTAATTTATTTTTTTAATCTACTTGAATTAGTCAATTAATTCTTATATTTAGAATCGGAGGTAATATTAGATTATATCTTAGTGTGATTGGGCCTAACTGAAAGTAACTTTCTCAAGCGTTTTTTTGACATTTACTTAGACTTGAGTTTAAGACCATGGTCATGTATCATATTCTTTTTTCCATTCAGAGAGGCAGATACTAAGAGCTTGATGTTATAAGCAGGCGGGATTGATCTTATGACTTTTTATTTATGGACGAGTTTATATGTCATTAGGGTACAAAGTTGCTGTTGGCGTAACATATTCATATTCTGGTTGCTCATCATCACCCTCTACTTCCCTTTTTAATGATCTCTTTTCCGATCTATGGCCTCAACATCCCACTACTTGTTGCCTTCTTTTCTTTTCTTTTTTTTTTTAAAATACTTTTAAGAAAGATTTCTTCCTTTAATAAAGGGCTTTAGCTTAGGATGAAACTGAAATTACAATTATAATTACATATCTATCTAAAGCTCAGAAAAGTTCCAAATTATAATCCCCCGCTTTTGTCCTTCCACTATTGGATGGGGATTAGTGTTGGTTTTACGTTAAAATAGTATTTGTCCCTGTCGGGGTTTCTTTTCGTGGTGAGTTGTGACGTTTGATTTTCAGTCTGTTCGGTTTGGTGTCAAATTGGTCCTTTTAATAATTTACTTGTTAATAATTACTTTGCGTCCGTCAAATACATCTGATTAGATCAATGGGCACAAGTAGGAGATGGAATTGTACAAGTAAAATACTACTTAATTTAATCTTTATCTCTTCATTGCCACTTGAATCTCTCACATTTAATTCTATAATGAAAAAAGGTACAATTATTTGATGGGATCGTCACTTCCTCTTGAAGATAACCTTGTACTCAAGGTACCCCTCAATTATTGAATTTGGGTGGGTCATATTCCTAATCCCAGGCCTGTTTTTTCTTCCTAAATAACTATTTATTTTATATTTTTAACGAGTTTTGAATTTAATATTTATGTTTTTGTTTTCTTTTGTTTTTTTCATTTCTAAACTTTATGTCATTCAAAATAGAGATTCTTATTGTTTTATAAGAAACTGAATCTAAGCTTAACAAGGTTGTTAACTCTGTCTGTGTGGGTTAACACTGTTAAGTAGATTAACGTAAACCGCTAACATGAACTGTTGTGGCTTAGATGTAATGATGAAAACCAAAATTCATTAAAATTTACAGGTATCTGGAGTTGGTTGAACTCTTATAAATAAGACTTGTGTTTTATGAAAAAGATATATTTGATGATGGATTCCGAGTGTTATGTCGGTCTTTTATCTTACAAGCCAGAGTTAATTAATAATAAAGTTATGAAATTTATATAATGAAACTTTTTGGCGTAATGTCACTTACTGTTTGTAGGTATATTTAATAAATACTTAAAAAATTTCTCTAGGTGGAAGGCATTTATGTAATATCCCTCCAGTTTTAAATATAAGACTCATTTTTTGATCTAAATATAAAAAATAGATCTTATATTTAATGTCGGAGTGAATAACTTTTTAAAAGGAAATAAAAGGGACAAAGGAATAAAGGTGATTCAACCAACGTGCGTTGTTGTTAGCTGAAAGACCAACTTTTTGTTAACACGGCCTTTTGTTGCGGCGGGGGAGGGGGGGGGGGGACGTTGCAGCTCTCCTTTATGATTAATACTCATCTGGTCTTTAATATAATATTACTTCTGATCTTAATTATAAGATTTAGTTGATTAATTTAAAAAGATTAAGAAAGTAAGTTGAGTTAATTATTTGTTTTAAATAGATATTGTCTTTTCTAAAATATCCTTGTTAATTAAGTGTATTGGTTAGAACTATCATTGTTCGAAGGACTACTTTAGGAAAAAAATATAAATATGAAAGACAAAATAGATTGGGATCTTATATTCAGGATCAAAATAAAAGCCAAACAAAATTTTATATTAAAGACCGGACGTAGTATATATTTAACTAATTTGATTAGATTAAAAAGTTAGATTAATTTATTAATTATAGGAAATATGACTTTTTTGTTATAAAACAATATAATCATCTTTCTTAATATCCTCTATCATTCTTCTACTTGATATCAATAAGGGTAATTTGAAAAAACTGAAAAATATAAATAAAAAAGTCTTAAATTTAGAACCAAAATTAACTCAACAATTAGGTTTTATATTAAGGATTGGAAGAGTAATACCTTCAGTCCTAAATATAAGATCTATTTCATGGTGAAAATCAGAGATAATATTATATCTTAATTTCTATCTTCTTCCATCTTTTTTTTTTTTCGGCCGCTTACCTTCTTCCATCTTGAAATACCAGTTTTCTCAAGTGTTTATTTATATACAATAAAACTTTGATAAAATCATGACATTTTTCAATCATCATCATTACATTAATATAATTCAGAACATGCAAAGACCATCATTACTATATTTTTAATTGGCAAAAAAAATCATTACTATATTTTTAAGATTCATAAAATATGCATAAACTATGCATGCCATAGCTTTGTGATAAAACAGGCATCATACGGACATGGATTATTCATAATAGTAAAACTACATATTTGATCCTCTAATTTTATATAAAATTTCAGTTTAGTTTCTTACTTTATGAAGTTTTTTTTTAAATTTTTTATTCTAATCAATGGACAAGAGACTTAAGTGAAATTATTACTATTTATTGGCAAAAAAAATAAAGATACATCATGTCAAATCCTACTAAACTTAAATTTGGGGTTCTTGATATTACTGAAAGTAATTCTTTATCTTGAACACTAGATGTGAGAATCTATTTAGATACCAATAGTTTAGGAGAATCATGCAACTCAAATATAATCTTTCTCCACCTCTATCTGCATGAGGGGCTACTAAAAACTAAATATTTGATTATAAAGGACTCACTTATTTTTTTTTGCAAGATTTTAAATTTGTCAGTAAATATAATTTTGCAATTTTATAATGGTGGAAACGTCAAAATTGAAAAATTATATTCACACACAAATTTAATACAAACGTAAATGCACTTAGTCACAACAAGTTTTTAAAAAATTACAGATTTTTTTATGGTAATAAATTTTCTTTAAGGTATTTCAAAAAAGAAATGGGTCTTCTATAATCAAATACTCAGTTTTTAGCTCCTTTATGTTTTTACCTTGTTTGGATGCTTGATAGCATTTCTTGATTATGACTCCTAAATTATTGGAGTATAGATAGATTTTAGCATCTAGTACTCAATGTAAATAACCCTTTCCACTAATGTCAAGACACCAGAGTCACACTTGGTCAAAAAAAAAAAAAAAGACACCAGAGTCACAAATT